CCGATGTCCTCACCACATTCGCCGATGGCCCTCTTGCTAAAGCATGGCTTGAGTCAGTCGACGGGTTCGCTGTCCATCTCCTGCGACTTTCCTGCGCACTATGCACAGAGCGCATCCCACAAATCAACATGCGACAAAGGAGTCAGGCCGAAGCCGATGCGTATGCCTTCAGTTCGATTGTCAATCGAGGACTGGGTATTCTACGACGACTCGCCGAAAAATCAAAGCAAGTCGACAACACCCCTCTTAACATCCCATCCGGAATCCTTCCTAGAAAAGAAAGCCTGCTAGGTGCACTGCTCCTCCCCAACATTGACGGTGGTGTTGTTCGCCAGCTTCTCACATATGCTCGGTTGGCGGAGTAAATGATGTATGCGTGAACCTTCCAATGCGCTGGTGACAGTTTGGTTTTGTACCAGTCCCTCTTGGGAGGAATCGGATCTTCTCCTACTTAGCATATACGACAATCTTGATTTTCTCTCATGTCATTTGTACTCATGTCGACTGTCAGTCTTTCTATTCTTAACTTTTGGGCGCTGGTGGGTGATGGGGGCTTTTATTTTGTTCTCGTGAGATAGCGTTCTGTTCTGCTTCGGTGTACAATGCTCAAAATACCCTCGACTAAAATCGAGAGATACTTGCATCATGACCTATTGGCCATTGCTTTCATTTAAATTCGTAAATATTAAATCAAAGGCTTACCACAGATTTGTAGTAAACCCAGTCACATTGAAGCAATTAGCAGAAATAGAGGGCAAGTCCTCCCGTCCACTCCCGAAGTCTTTAAACAGGTCTACCTGTGGCCGACATTGGCATACCTTCTAGTTGTAGATATAAGCATATATACTACGTGATATTACAAGTTTCCTGTATGGAAATGCATGTGGTCATTCGATGTAAAAGCACTAGCACCCATCGAGTCGTCGAAAATGTACATATTGAAAGTGTTACAGGTAGAGAGAAAAACCAAGGGAACAAAAAAACGAAAAGCAGGTGCACGCCAGAAGACACGACCGGATAGATGAGACACAAACACCAAAGGAAAAGAAAAGAAAAAAAAGGGGAAGAAAAACAACCCGCAACGAGATTAAGGTATGCACCGAGGAAAGAGGAGAGAGAGATCAAGGAAATAGATATTACCCATCCACATCAGGGACCACCGTGAGCGTTCGTTTCTTTCTTTCTCCTCCCTTGTTTTCGACGTGATTTGATTGATCTCTCCGATAGATATGATCTAGCATACCCCTCGCAATAGGGGGATATGAATGATGCTTTTGAGGGTGAATCTTGGATTGAAAAATTCCGATGAGCTCTTCAATCGCGGGTTTGTGAAATAAGATTGAGGTATTAGAGAAGAAAGAATTTAGAATTTCCGCTCCTGGAGGAAGTTCACAATCTCGGGTTTGCGCCAGCCCTGTATCAATATATCAGTTTCTATCGCGTAAGAATCAATTGCACCGTCCAAGTGAACATACCTTGACAATGATGTGGCCAGTGAGTCGGTTGAGAGTAACATCCGGGTTAGGCTTGTTTCCGTCGACAACACCCAGAGCAGCAGCTAGGTCGTTGCGGAGGGCTTCCAGATCGCCTTCGGTCTTCTGGAGCTTGGTGAGTTGCTTGGTGCCGCCGGCCTTTGTGACGACGTAGACAGGCAGCTGGTTGGAGGCAGTGCGGCGGACGAAATAGGGGAGATTGGTGAGCTGCAGGGGCGGAGTGGGTTTCTTGTCTGAGGATGGGAACGCGGATGAGGCGGTAGATTGTTGTTTCAGGGCTTGCGCTTGACGGCCGAGATGAGCGAGGAAGGTGCGGCTTTGGCGGGTAGGGAGAGTAGGGAGAGTGAATTGAGGACGATCTGAAATAAATGATTAGTCAATGCGCTATTTTCTCTGTCGAAGCGAAACCAATACGGCATAGATGCGTGGCTTTTTTTCTTTCTTTCTTCTTTCTTGTCTGTTGGTTACAAGATAGCAAGACTGAGGGTTTGGCCTTGCTCTTGTAGGTCTTAGGAGATCAAGAGACCAAAATGAAACAGAACAATAAGTAACTTACGTGAAGCCTTCAACCGTGCCTGGGGGCATAATGTGGAAAATGAACTACATGTCTGTACGGAAGCGACGGACTGTGCAGAATTGACGCGAAGAGTGGTCGTGGCCTGCTTTCGCATGGCCGATGATGGGCCCGAGTGTAGAAGAGATGCCATTTCTCAGGTTCTAAAGGACCAAAAAAATAGACCTGGTTGGAGAAGATGCGGATATCAAGGTAAAAGGGCTGGGAAGATCGGAGAGCGACATCTGATGCTCTCCTCTGCTCAGATTTTCTGCCACCGCTTCCCAACACCCACTTCCAAAAGGGGTTTAGCGCCACCGACGCCCGCACAATCTGCAAATTCTCCATTGATCGCGGTTGGCCTTTGTTATCCCCCTCTAGACCTTTAACCCCCTTCTGCCATCTCTTGAGATTAAATATGGCAGACAACGCCCCCCCTACCGCTGAGAATTTGCTCAGCGGCGCTGCTGCTCACGCCGAGGAGATCGCCTCCCAGCATGATTTGCTCCCCCGACTCATCCCGTACCTCGACCGTCACCTGGTCTTCCCCCTGCTCGAATTCAGCGCTACCGGCGATGAGGAGGACAAGGAAATCACCCGGGCGAAGTACGAGCTCCTGAAGCACACCAACATGACCGACTACGTCGCCAACTTGTGGCAGGAGATCAACGATTCCGACACCATTCCCGAAGAGTTTGTGAAGAAGCGCGAGGAGGTTCTCGCCCAGCTACAGCATTACCAGGTTCAGAGCGAGAAGATTTCCGAATTGTTGCAGGATGAGGAGGTTGTCGGCAACCTGCGAAGCGACAAGGCTGCCAACTTGCGGTTCCTCGAGGAGCAGCACGGTGTCACCAACGAGATGGTCAACTCTCTCCACGACTACGGACGGTTCCAGTACAGCTGCGGCAGCTATGGAAATGCCGCTGAGCTGCTTTACCAGTTCCGTGTTCTGTCCACCGATAACGACAAGGTTGCCGCCGCCACATGGGGTAAGCTCGCATCAGAGATCCTGACCACCAACTGGGAGGGTGCTATGGAGGAGGTTCAGAAGGTTAAGGACTCAATTGAGACTCGCCTGTTCAACAACCCCCTGGCTCAGCTCACCAACCGCTCGTGGCTCATCCACTGGTCGCTGTTCCCCTTCTTCAACCACGACCCCGCCCGCGACGTCCTTACCGACCTCTTCTTCTCCCCCGCCTACATCAACACCATCCAGACCAGCTGCCCTTGGGTTTTGCGGTACCTCGCCGCCGCTGTCATCACCAACCGCAGCCGCCCTCACAAGCACTCCGGTGTCTACCAGAAGCAATTGAAGGATCTGATCCGCGTTGTTCGCCAGGAGGACTACGAGTACACCGACCCCGTCACCGATTTCGTCAAGGCCCTTTACGTCGATTTCGATTTCGAGGAGGCACAGAAGAAGCTCAGCGAGGCAGAGGATGTGCTCCGCAGCGATTTCTTCCTTGTGTCGGCCGCCGATGCTTTTGTCGATGCTGCCCGCCACCTCATCTCCGAGAGCTACTGCAAGATCCACCAGCGCATTGATATCAAGTAAGTTATTATATTGGGAAATTGACCAGAACAACAAACTAATCCGGGTCTTTCTTAAGCGACCTTTCCGCTCGCCTCGGTCTCAACCAGGACGAGGGTGAGAAGTGGATTGTCAACCTTATTCGCGATACCCGGGTTGACGCCAAGATCGATTACAAGGAGGGCACTGTTATTATGAACCACCCCCCTCAGTCGGTCTACCAGCAAGTCATCGAAAAGACCAAGGGTGCCTTCTTCCGCACACAAGTCTTGAGCTCTGCTGTTGCAAAATAAAAACACCATGACCTTGATGTTGAAAACTGAACTTTTCTCTGTTATGTGATTTCCAACTTGTTTCTGCCTGGCCCCCCTTTTTTATAGTGATCTCCCCGTGTAGGTCACAACACGGTTGTTTGGGGACTCCATGCAGAGTGGCATCCGGCTGGCGTTTTTTCGGGGGTCCACACTTATTTCTTTACCTCTTTAGTCTTGCAGTTCTTATGCACACACTCTCTCCCCATATTTTCACTTCCTCTGTCGGATATTATGCTTGACCTCTTTATGTATTGGCCAATTCCGACCCTGGAGGTTTGGAGGGAGGGGTCCCCAAAACCAGCCATCCCCCCGTCTAATCTTTGGAGGGGAAAAAAGATGGAAGATGGAGATATGGTGTAGTAGACTCTGTGATCTTAGGGTCTGATTTATCTATGCTGTTACGAATGGTCCATAGAGATGAGTGAAAGATGATGTCTTTTTTGACAATAACCCTTCAAACTATTATCAAGTTAGGCTTCTTAAGGCTTCAGATGCTGCTAGACAGTATCCCAGTTTATTATCGTAACTATCATAATCAGCGTTGAACATATTGATCTCATTCGGTGTGTTAGCATAAGACCACTTGACTTCCATCTCTAACATCTCTACGACTTCACTTGTCTTCTTTCCCGGCCAAAAGAGCAGTTCGGTTTATGATTTGCTATAGTATAGCACCTCTAAATCCAAGAATCTAATACAAAATCAGATTCAGTGTTATAACCTCAAGAGATATTCAACACCAGCAAAAAAAGAGAAGGGTATATCAGAACGAGACAAAAGGCACATGTTCCTATCAGCCACAAAAGGGCTACGCTATTGCCCACAAGAGCCACTTCCATCCCAGGATAGGGTTCCTTTCCTTCCACTGGTCCGTCCGGGGTTTCGGTAATCCAAGGATTCCACCTAGGCAACAGAGTCAGGGGTTGAACATCCATGTGGCCAATATTAAGATGATCCAGGGCACGAAGAACGATAGAGAAAAAAGCCAAATAGAGCAGTATCAGACGGCGACACTGAAGAGTCCTTGTAATAGTGCAGGCCGACGGAATCCTAGAACGGTGCCAACGACTGGAAAAGGAACTAATGGATGGAAGCGAAATAAAATGGCCTCAACGACCGCCTCGTAAGTCTGGTTGTCTGCGTGCTCCGGGTTGACTAATAGGGATGATTTCATTGATGTAGGGCTCCGACTGGGTTGTCGAGTTGTCGCTGCTAGAGCTAGAAGTTGAGCCGCTGGTGTTGTGGGCCATTCGAGTAGCTTCCTGCTTCTCGTACTCTCGGGACATTACCGTGAGATCGTCGATCTGTTCCTGTTGAGAAGAGTTAGTAAGGCGTGATATGCGGTTCTATCTGTCAGATATCAATCAAACAAAAATTGGGGAAACAAACCCGCGTGAGTGGCACGCCATTGATGAGGTAGCCTTCGCGTCCCTGCAATGGCTAGTTAGAGTAAGTTGTATAGAGGGCATGGAACCAATGGCAACATACCTGGTAGCTGTAGGGTCTAACTGTTGCACTTGGTCCAAGGAAGTAATGGATATGGCCTAGGACAATATGACGGGATAGCCCGTAGCCCGGAAGCCAGTATTGCTGGACGGGAGACATTGTCAAGGCTAAAAGGTGAGGCGTTGAGACGAGGCGAAGAGACGAGGCGAAGGGCTAGGGTCTGATGTCAGTCGACACCGACACAAACGGTCCGTGCCTGGAAGCTCTTTGTGGGACTTTTGGCACTCCGAAGGACGAGATATCGAGAGTATAAATAAGTTGGTCTATACCCTGGTTGACCGAATAAACAATCCCACCAGAAACGGAGACGAATAAGACAAATCACTATCGGGAATGCACTAATCGCCAGCCCAGATCCTTCGGAGTATATGGTCTCACAACAGGTCGGCAGAGGGGACCGCGTACCCCCTTCATCGAACAGCACGATCCACAGGGTCGCTGCACATACTAGACAAATGAAACGAAGTTACCCACCCATCCGGTAACTCTCGAGTTCTCCACGGAAGGCGGCAAGAAGAAGAAAAGGAAACCAGCGGGAAAATCAGAGACAGCTCAGATTCCTGGGTTCTAATCGAGAGAGTTCAAGTCGGAACGTTCGGGGGCTTGAGGAGAAGAGAAAGCACCCGCCTCACTTTATCAGCCAACGAGACCCAACCCTTTTTTTTTCCCTTTGATGTATGTCAATTTGGAGTTTTTGACCGTTAAAATGAAACGGGATCTTAATCTGCCCACTTTTTTGACCTCTTGCTACCGAGGATTCGGTCTTGGACAAAAGTGAGGCTTGCAGGGAGAAGCATCGGTCTCGAATCAATCCCAGGGCGGCCATAGAATTGGAGGATTTGGAAGCGAAAGCGAAGTTCTGACACTCCGTTTTCCTCACCGCAGATTCTCAAACCTATGCAGCGCCAAATTGGCTCTTCCTGCGGTGATGTCGTGGCACCACGGATTGTGGCCTTGGATCGCGGGGGGGCCACTGAGCTGCAGATGTCCTCTCTGCAGCTCTCGCTTTTAGGGCATGGACTCACTTTTAGGGCATAAAATTATGTCCTCTTTGAGTTGCCAAGATCAACTTGTATATGGAATTTTTGGTCATCGAAACACATGGCAGATGGAAATGACTAGGTGCTGAACGATTGGAGGTCCTCTCTCGAGGATATATATTAATCGGGTTCAATATCATTTAGCCAAGGATTGCATGTGTTGTATCTCTCCGATCGACCGAGAGATGATCAAGGGGTTCATCACAGGTTATGATGTGACAGATTATGCATGCATTTATGTCCGTAGATAGGCCTAGAGGTTCTACGTGCGGGTTCGAGCCAAGTCCACAAGGCCAACGCTTCATGTAATATTCTCTAGTATTTTCATAATTCGTCCGACATGAGCGAAAACAAAATATCTCGCATCATCATCGCCTTTACTGAGGAGGCACATATGGGGTCACCAACATCTCACTGAACTTCTCCAGCTTCTCCTTACCGCGAACTTCCTCAACAAGCATTGGCATGCGGACCACATTGAAATCCTCATAGAGCTCCTCAATCTGATCAAGGTACTTCTTCTGCATCTTTCTCCGGGCAGTGCACTGTTCGCAGTCACTTCCTGCCTTGGGGAACAGCAGTTGGTTAACAACGATTGCATGGGTGTCGATGTTGTAGCTGGTCAATTCCTGGATCATACGTTCCGTCTCGTAGAGCGACAAGAACTCCGCAATGCATACACACACAAAGGTGGTCATATCTGGGTTCTTGAATTGCGTGTTGACCTCGCTAATAGTCTCCCGCAATGACTCCATCTTCTGCAACAACTCATCCATATTCTGGCCTCCGGGTAGACCGCCCCGAGCGCCCAGAATCGAGTTGAGCATCGGACCGAACTGAGTAGAGAGCTGGGAGAGCTTGGCGAGGGCCTTCTCGAGAACGGTGGGGAATTGGAGGAATCGAAGGGTGTGACCGGTGGGCGCGGTGTCGAACACGATGACTTCGTAGGAGAGGGACTTGACCTGCTTCAGGACTTCGGCGAAGGACATAGCTTCATCAACACCGGGGATCTGTCCAAGTTAGATTTGACACGTAAAGTATATGGCGCAACAGCTGCATAAGCACTTACGCTGAAGGCGAGATCCTGCATCATGTTTCCCATGCCCAATCCTGCCATGGGATCCTCCTGGCCATCTCCGGTGGCGAGTAGATCCTGGATGCTCCCGTTGGGGTCGATTTCCATCGCGCTCAGGTTTGAGTAGCCATCGATCAGGCGGGCCTCCTTTCCAAACTTCTGACCGAAAGCATCGCTCAGATTGTGTGCGGGATCGGTGGAAATAAGGAGAACAGATTTGCGGACTTTGGCCAACTGGATGGCCAGCGAGCATGAGGTGGTGGTTTTACCCACACCTCCTTTTCCTCCGACGAAGATCCAACGGAGAGTGTTTTGACTGAGAACCGACTGGAGCGTAGGCTCCATGTCGAGGTCGTCGCTATGTACCACGGCGGAAGACATTGTGTGATTTGTGGAAGTTCACAGGTTGCCCAGGTGTTTGCGAAGGAAGTTCAAGTTCCCAAGTTGCCCCGCAAAATCGAAGTTTCCGGAAGACAAGTCTTTCACATTCTACACTTCACTTTCTCTTTTTTGGCGTTTTTATAATTATACGCGTTAATTTTGGATGCAATATACCTCGTCCTAATTACTCCCATCCTTTTACTAATTGGAGAGATTTCTATGGCACTTGGAGCTCTTTATCCTCGAGCCCACAGAACCATCATATTTAAGTTGTCACAATAGAACTAATTCGAGATGATTATATTTAGTATAGTAGTCAAGAAAAGAAGAAGCTATACAAACTTATATGTGTCCGCGTGCGTCGATCTCAATTGATAGCTACAATGGCACTCTCCGCGGCCATCGGTATCCTCCGACGAACCTTTGACAGTAATATAGAGCTCACCCTTCCATATTCTTCTTTTCCCCCTTTCCTCTTCTCTTCCTATACTCCATCTTCTCATTGAATGAATGGACTCCCCTCAAAATAACCAACAACTTGGTCGCACAACGAACCGCCTTGCACTTTATCAGCAACAAATCTCTCCCGCCCCGCACCAAGACTCAACCCTCAAGAAACCAACCACCATGGCAGCACGCGATCCCATCACCTGCCATTGCCTCAATACTCTATCAGGAACACCCGCAGCCAACCTGCCAGTGACCCTCACTCTCCTCTCCACCCCGACATCCACCACCAGCAACATCTCATTCCGCGCAACCACAAACGCCGACGGCCGTGTCGCCAACTGGACGCCAGTTGGAACAGCCTCGGAGTCAGTCCCTGCTATCTTGGCTTCTCTTCCTGCTGCAGACAGCAAGACCAACTGGTCTGTGCGCTTCGACGTCGGTCCCTGGTACGAGGCCCAAGGCGTCGAGAGCTTCTGGCCGGAGGTTGAGGTTAAGTTCACTGTCAAAGGACGTGGTCGTGAGGGCGAGGAGGGATGGCGCCATTATCATGTTCCTGTCCTCCTGGGTCCTTGGAATTACTCGACTTATCGGGGATCGTGAAAATGAAATATAAGGAAGGATGAGCTATGAACTGTAAATATTTCAATCTTTTCAAAGCTTGATAGATAAATGTCAAAGGAGCATCTCTATTGGAAAGTTGTCACTTCGAAGCATGAATCTTGGCTATGGCTTTCTCATTGTTCGGTTGTCATCTAGAGTATTTGTAGGCTTTAGGGTGTGATACCTTGCCGGGCAGGTGAGAATAACAGCTTCCTATTAGATGACATAGTCCACTACATTCGAAAGAGAAGCAGCATATATACTACTTCAACTGGATACACAAAAGATCTTGTCATACCGTCTTTCTACCAATTCCATGTTCGAGATTGAGTTGATCTGATCTCGGGACCTATATTTTAAGTACAGGTAGTATCTTAACTGTGCAGGCTTCTGCAGCTACCGGCATATATAGAGTCTAAATATAGTCGAATATTTCATCCAATGCCGGTATTTTTTGGGTGTTTTAATAAATAGGACATCTGTAATATTCCATATGACTGATATGAATTTCTGCAGACAAGCTTTCAAGATGCATCAAGAGCTGTGGTCTTGAGTTGTCAATTCCACTTAGATCGTGTTTAACAGATGGCACGTACAATCAAGGTTGAAGGATACCAAGACTGTGGGGAATGTCTCTCCACAACGGCACAGCCTTATCCTCAAAACAGATGATATCGCCCGATTGCAAGTGGTTAAAGGACTATTTGGGCTAGACCATTCTTTGCGATTGTCGCAGGGAACATTCAAAATTAAGATTGAAGTGTATATATATGGACTACACGTTCTCAATCACAAATTACCTAGCCTTATATATCAAGATCAGGGGTAATAATGCGATTCTGTCCTATTTGACGCGATATTTAAGATGACAATGTGATTTATGTAATCTACTAAGTGCCGGACGCGATCTTGAACTAGAAAACATGTATACTTACCCCGTATGAATACAGAGACGCGTAATACACGGCTGATTAATAATTGTCTGGCCCCCAAGTGAAGCTAGTCCGGGTGGTAATAGGTCGTACAAAGTCTACACATACAGATCTCAAATATATTCATTTCCTCCCAATATCCTAAGATGATATCCAATTAGATCTATATGTCAATCTGTAGATCGAGATATTCAAAATTCCAACTTGATAGAGCCCTCACGTGCCATTGCGTCATCGTTTTCACCGCATTCTTCGGGTTAGCGTAAAATCTTATACCTTGGCACTGGGGCATAATGTTCTCTGATTGGTTCAAATTGTACATATGACCCACAGCGGGAGAGATTTCTGTCGTCACCGTGACATAATGAATAATACAGGGCTGGGATGACCAACCACCCCCGGTATCAAAGCCATGGATGCAAGCATCGACCCTCTACTTCCGTACTATTTTACTCTTTGCAATGCTTTGCTATAACTTTTTATCCTTTGGAGCTCTTCAAACTGACAAAAAAAATTGACTTTATCCCCCTCAACTGAAGGTTCTAGGTAAGGGTGTTGAATGTCTGAGATGGGAACATCTCACAGATAGAACAGTACCAATAGCAAAGTAATATCGGTGGAAATAAAGGCCGTTTAAAAAGAAAAGACCGTTACAATGTTGCATGTATAATTACCCAAATTTTTAAAATTACAGTAACATGTTGTAATTGTGTATTTTTCTTTTCCAACTGTCAAAATCCCAAAATCCCTAAATTTCATCATATCCCTCTTCCCCCTACGTCACTCTCTTTCCTTTCTCTCACTCCTAAGAGAAACTGTTTGTTTGGCCTTATTTTTTTGAATATCTCTATTATTCGAAGCCTAATGTCTGCTGCGGTCGCTTCTGCCGTATCGACTCTTCCTAACAATATGTCTTCCCCAATCGACTCGAAGGCAGAAAAAGAAGGTTCGTGTCACGGTCATTTTTTTTGCGCATTTCCTTAGTACTTTTGCTTGATATTCCCTTCTTTCTCTCTTATGCATTATACTTCCTCCCCTTTTTTTTGGTTTTGGTAATACGCCACTGTCCCCCCGAGCCTTAAATTCCCCAAAGTCCTTTGCCGTCGCGATGACTTCACCCTCTGGCGTCATTGATTTTCTCCCCACTATATGCATCTTCCACAATGAAGCCCACGACTCGATCCCATAACCGCAGTGGTACCTATTTGTGATCGCATTAATTCTTGGCAGTATTGCTAACTCAACTTCTTTAGACTCGCAGGCCGCGTCACAGAAGGACCAGAAACCTAACGTAGAGACTCAGACCTCGTTGGCGCCGCCTCCACGACCGGGTGCGCCTACTGCGTCTGATACTCCGGACTACTTCAATTCCATGCACAATCCTTTCTCGCTAGAGCCCAATCCATTTGAGCAATCGTTCGGAGGAAATCCGGCGGAGACCCCAGGCAAATCGCTTCTTCCTTCTGTCGCCGCCCTCACCTCACCGGCCTTGCCTGGAACAAGTTCTGCTGGCGGTTACAATTGGAACAACTCCTTGCGCTCAGGACCTCTTAGTCCGGCTATGCTCCCAGGGCCCACCGGCGGCCCTAATGACTACTTCGATAGCATCGGTCGCGGTTTCCCCACCCCGAACGAGTCCTCCCTCCGCACGGGACTGACACCTGGTGGTGGAGGCTCTATGTTCCCGGCCCCCAGTCCTAATTCACAAGCTCTCTTGCAACAACTTCAGAACGGCGGCGCCACTCCTTCCACTATTGATTTCCATCGCACCGCACTCGCGGTAAAGAAAACCAACTCGAATGCCCCCACCTCCAACCCGACCGAGCAGGAACAAGCTGCTGCCAATATGGATGTAAAACCAGCTCGTCCCGCGGACTTTACTCAACATGATGCAGCTGATGCAGCAAACGGACTCTTCATGCTGGCAAAGGGTGGTCAGGCAAATAATGCGCCAATGAACCATCCTCCAATGCAAAATGATACTCGTGCTGCAGCTCGACGTGTCTCCCAAAACACCAATGGTACTAGTGCCGAGGATGCATCTGACCATGAACCCGCTAAACCCGCTAGGGGTCGGGGTAAAAAGAACGCCAAGGCCCCTGCCAATAATCGCCGCAAGGCCGATGACGCCCCCAAGGGATCTAACAAACGGGCTAAAACCAACACGGAGATGCCTTCTGATATGGATGAAGAAGAAGAAGAGGATGATGATATGAAGCAATTCCCAATGGATACCAAGAAGATGACTGATGAGGAAAAAAGACGCAATTTCTTGGAGCGGAACCGGTATGAATTGACTACCTCACATATTCGGGGCCTTATGATGCTAATATTTTCACTACAGTGTCGCGGCTTTGAAATGTCGTCAACGGAAGAAGCAGTGGCTGGCTAACCTTCAAAACAAGGTTGAGCTTTTCACCTCAGAGAATGATGCCCTTACTGCGACAGTGACTCAGCTGCGTGAGGAGATTGTAAACCTCAAGACTCTTTTGCTGGCACACAAAGACTGCCCAGTCTCTCAGGCCCAGGGTCTCGGGCCCCTTATGATGAACGGCATGTCAGCCGGATACGATCACCACGGGTATAACATGCCCCCCAATATGGGAATGCAGCCCGGTGGCATCCCTACACAGGGCATGCGTCGGTGAGAAAAACTTGCTTTGTTTCTCATCTCAAAATACCTATCTTGCTTTTCGCCGCATGTAGGAAATACGGTTCACTGCTTAGACCCGGCGGTTGATCTCTTCTTCCTAGGAGTTTGTTTTTCCTCGCGGTTTCTTTCGGCTTAGGTTTGCCGACTGGCATGGGCAGGTGTTAATGATCCTCACGACCCAAAAATGGACGGACTAACTTGATGGTCTGGAATGACCTGTTTTTTTGAGGATGTGTCAATCCGGCGTATGAGATGCTTTCGATTTACGGTTGCTTCGAGGTTGCTGTTCTGCTTTATGATGTCTACCCTTTTTCCTTGTTGTATTTTTTACCCTTTGCTTTTCTTTAATCCTCCCGGTGGCTCAGAGGAACTTTTTACTTTTCGCTTGTCTAATACTTAAGGGCACATCGGTGCATTGTTTGTTTTCCCATATGTGGGCTGATTGTGTCGAATACATGATTCCTGGGTGGCGTACGGATGGCTTTGTGATTTTTTGATGTGTTTGACTAGTTTCCTTGAACCAGATGGTTGGGCAAATGAATCGACAATCGCTTTGAAAGTGTATACAGTGTAGGTCTTTGGTATATGCTGGACGTAGAGGGAAGTCATTGTGCTTCGTGGTTGCAGCTCCTAGCTCTGAGATCTCTAGAAATTATACCAGATTTTGTATATCATTTATTAACATTCTATAGTAAATCCTTGAAAGTCATCATGTACATGTTGAAAGTGCCTCAGAAAATTCTTGTCAAACTTGGCTTCATCCACTTGGGCTCTTCACACTTGTTGTCTGCCATCCAATTTTGGATCTTTTCGTTGTCCCATCCAGCCGTGAATTGACCGGCAATTTCTGGCTTACTAGCAGCTCCAAGCTTCAAGCTCCGCACAAATACACACGCCCCAGCAGTGTCATAAGTGTAAGACATGCACCAGTCCTTATCATGGCATGCCTGACGACAGGCTTCTAATGATTCATGCTGGGAGAGAGTATCAGGTTGTTCAATAATTCCACCCCATGCTCCATTGTCCCATCCTTTCCGCTCCGGCAACTCTCCCAGGCGAAGGTAGCCAACCAAGTCTGCGTATAGCAAGGGATTCTAAATTGACATGAATTAGCATGCATATCAGTATGCTCAACAAGAGGAATCATACCGTTCTATCCCTCTCATCCTCCCAATCCGCCAGCCCGATCATATCACCCAATTGTGATTTATGCATGCTAATCACAGGCTGGCACCAGTGATGATCATCACCAAACGGAATCGAGTCCAGGGGATGCGGGTTGAACATCGGCCACATCCCAGACAACTCGATCCCCTTTTCATACAACGCAAACCCAAGCACAGAGTCACCACAGCAGTCATCTTTCACCACTTGCATATACTGCTCAGTGACCGAGGGTCCAATAAACTGTCCATATTCACCAGTTTCCCGCGCAACCAACGTATCAACCGCAGCTCTGGATAGCACAAAGCCCGCACCACCGTATGCAAACCAGTTGACTTTTCCATCGCGGACACCGCGGCCCGGCGAAGGTGACCCCATATACAGAGGGAACGATGAGTTGAACTGTTCCAGCATTCGGAACAGGTTATCCCACACCATGTAAGTATCCGTCTCGAGAAAGACGTACCACTCCGCACCGGGGTTGACTTTCTTAGCTCGTTCCACCATTGGGAGGAACTTGAATCGATCGAGTTTCCATCCCGCTGCGCCGTCGATATTGTTCCCGTGTTGTAGCGCTTCATACCCTTTGAACTCCGGGATGTGGTTCCGGGCTGAAAGAGGTAGATCGGCTAGGATATCGTGTACATGGTGGCCGTGGAGTTCAGTCTCCTTGTCTGATACAACTAGCAGGTTGGAAATGCAGCGAGTTACAGAGGCCATGTGTGTGTCGACTCGGTTCGGGTCTTCGGTTGCGCTGGTTTTTAAGACAATTTGAATATGTGATAGAAGGTCTGAGGGGAATGTGTCACAGGTGCCATTTTGAGATCTTCCTGTGTCGTCGGTATCATTGATATGCTGAGGTTTCCGGAATTGGGTTCTCGTTTCCCATGTCCAGTAGTCTTGCTCATTTGTGAGCTCGTCTTTCGCTCCAGGTGAGATATTTGATGATAGTCCACTCGAATATAATGTTAGGAGGAGGATTGTCAAAACGGTTAGGAATACAGCAAGTAATTTGAGCTTTGTGTTGCCTAGAGTTCTGAAAAATGGCCGCGCGGTCGCTGAGGTAGATGTGCCTGGGCCCATATTGGGGGGTTGCACACTTGGTTTATTAAAGCACTGACATTGAAGAAGAAAGGAAGAAAAAGACTATAAGAATAATAGAGATTATGCAAAAAAAAAATTAAATAAAATAATGCTTGTGAGAGCCTCTGGGGCTCCAAATCCTACAGATCCTGTATGAACGACTCACGGACGTCACCATAGCGGGTCTGCTCCATGTAGTCCCGAATCATGGTCCCCATGTTGCATGCACCCTGTCTGCACTCTGGTTGTACTGTGACCGCAAATTGGCCTGGGCTGAGTGGGACAATCGCTGGAAATCTGACCGAACGATGCGAATCCCTTGCACATATTCCATGACTCGGTCAAGGCCACCTCCAGTTTTCTTGAGCTGTACAGCTTGGCTTAAGTGGAGAATTTGATTGTTTGGAGATAACTCATGGAAGCCCAAAATATAGCCCGGGAATCTATGTTGTAATGAAAGAACAGGGCGTTGAGAGCCTCATGATGTGTAGCAACTTGGGAGTTTTATAGGACGGGAATCCATACCATCCATAACCGGTAAGGTGGGAACTTAGATAACGATAGGGCGATAAGACTTATCTGCCTTAGAAACTCGGCATCAATGCACGCCAAACATCAGAAACACGAACATTGAAGCTTCAAGCTCGAGAGTCTGCATTACTTCCGTTGAGATGCAATTTGGAAGGTTCATCTCAGACGTGTGTTAAAGTTTACAGTCTAGTATCAGGCCTGAGTCGTGATCTTTCTCCTCAAACCCGCTGCCTGGCCGCGACCTCTTCTTGCCCAACAATTCCTCCGCGAACAAAGCACCCACAGGCGCCAACCACGAGCGAACAGATACAAAATACCGAACAATTCGCCCACTAGGGCACCAGGCAGACAATGTCAAACCCTGCCCGAAACCCTGCGCGCGGGCGCCGCTTAGACGACGCCCTTTCCCAGCTCGTCGATGGCCTGACCCCCGCGCTCCCGATCTCCGCCATCCAAGACGAAGACTACTCCGACGCAGAGGAAGCTCTTGCCGCAGCCGAAAGCCGCCGTCACCATGTCCTCATGGAACGCGCCTGGCGTATCCTCGATACCCACGCCAGCACCAACGCCCCAGACCCAGGATCACCAGCGGGACTTGGTGGACGGCGCGGAAGTTTCGCGGGAACAGAGAGCATCAACAACGCGCCGGATCTGATCAAGCGCAAGCTGCGGCGCGAAAATATCAGTCCCGACAAGGCGGTGCGGTTTTCCAACCTATACTCTCGCCTCCTGACGCAGCCTGTGCTGTCGCAGAAATGGGGTATCCTCTTTTTGCTCTATAAGTTGTCCGCGTCGGATGAGCTAGCGGAGGGGGAACGAAGCCGGAGCCCGTTGCTGGAAGAGGCACATTTGCACAATATGTTGGGAAAGGCTGGACGTCCACGCCGAGGCACGATGATCGACTCGGAGGATGAGGGCCCTGCTATTAGCTCGTCGGCTTCGCAGCAACACCAACGCATACTACCCGCGAAGATGGAGCGACAAAGCTCTTTGCGACATGATATCGATCGTGGTGTAGACCAGGCTGGGCGTAGCTCGACTGAAATACCAGCGGTCCGGGTTGAGACTGCAGTGAATGACCGTTCCAGCGATGAGCATGTTCGTGCTGCCTCGCCTCGGCCTTCGACTGCTAACCCATCAGGCCCGGCGGAATTTTCGGGGTCTGTTGAGCATAGGCTTCTGCGCGACCTTCCGTTCAACTTGCAAGGGCTGTCTTCGTCGAATCTGCAATTCAGTTCCTCATCGAGCTTGAAATTGCCCTCGAATCTGTCTGCGCCGATAACATCACTTCTTAACACGCTAGCGGAGCCTTGTCTACTCTATAAGGGACTGTCTGTGTTTGTGGAAGGCGAAGATGGTGGACTGGTGAACCAGAGCTTGCGGGCTGCCATTGCCATTGAGCTGCGCGCATATCTTAGCTTAGTGGCTACACTAGAGGCGGAAATCCGACAGGCGCTGGCCGCGATTGGAGATGGAACCGAGGCTCAAAGTGTACGAAAGGGCGGCGTTACCTTGAAGCGATGTGTGGTGTGGACGAGAGATGCTACCATGGCCCTTCGACTAATGAGCTTGATGGTGGAAGAAGCTCAGAGTAAGTACACAGGCAGATAGCTATATTTTCTCAATGATTGACACATACCACAGGCAAGAGGGGCGGCCAGTTGATTTCCTTGATACACGGCTTTTCAACATCCCACGGAGATCCCTTCGTGTGCGCATTCGCCGAGAAACTTCTTGCACATGTGACGCGTCCGTTCTACGACATGCTACGACTATGGATTTACGATGGTGAACTGTCAGATCCTTACAAGGAATTTTTTGTCGCTGATCCAGAGTTCCGGCCGAAGGCTGACCCCCGGCGGGTAGCAACAAGCGTCTGGGAGGATAAGTATAAGCTTAATGATGATATGGTGCCTTCAATCATTAATCAGGAGTTCGCGAAGAAGATTTTCCTGATTGGCAAATCCTTGAACTTCATCCGCCATGGTTGCGGCGATTCGGCGTGGGTGGAGGCATATTCCAAGAAAGCCTCCAAGGAACTTCGATATGGCGACACCGCCACTCTCGAGATCTCCATTGATGAGGCATATAAGACCACAATGGCTCGATTGATTTCCTTGATGAACGGAAAATTCAACCTCTTCGATCACCTAAAGGCACTGAAGAGTTACCTGCTACTGGGCCAAGGAGACTTCATTGCTCTGCTCATGGAGTCGCTTGCCACAAATCTAGATCGCCCAGCAAATTCACAATATCGACACACCCTAACTGCCCAACTGGAACATGCTATCCGTGCCTCCAATGCACAATACGATACCCCAGAAGTTCTGCGTCGGCTTGACGCCCGTATGCTTGAGCTGAGTCACGGTGATATCGGATGGGACTGCTTCACGTTGGAATACAAAATCGATGCTCCCGTGGACGTGGTCATCACACCGTGGGCGTCAACTCAATACCTAAAAGTGTTCAACTTCCTCTGGCGCATCAAGCGAGTTGAGTTCGCGCTGAACAGTACCTGGCGGCGATGCATGACCGGCGCCCGAGGCGTGCTCGGCAACGTGGAAGACAAGGTGGGAGCAGACTGGAAGCGAGCACGTTGCGTGATTGCAGAAATGATCCACTTCGTCAATCAGCTCCAATACTATATCTTGTTTGAAGTCATCGAGTCCAGCTGGGAACAACTGCTCGAAGCAATCCGGAGACCGGACTGCACACTGGACGACCTTATCGAAGCACATACCAAATACCTCAACTCCATCACCCACAAAGGTCTACTAGGATCTGCATCCTCCTCCTCGCGCTACGGCACCTCGACCTCAACCTCCGCCAAACAACCCGAAGAAAACTTCCTCAGCCAGCTCCACCAGATCCTCAAGTTCATGCTTGCATACAAAGAGGTCGTAGATGGCCTGTACTCCTTCTCCGTTGCGGAATTTACCCGTCGCCAGGAGATAAACGCCAAGATCGAGACTCGCTCCGCCCAGGGTCAATGGGGCCTCTCAGAGCGTGATCTCCTCCCCCGCCAGTCCAACACCCGGACGGGGACCTCAATGACCTCGACCCCGGACGTCCGACCTGACAGTGCCGGGATGGACGGTATCAATACCCCGCTTTCATTACCTGGCCCTAATCTCGCCGCCGACGACAACATGCTTGCCTCGCTCCGTCTCCGTCTCCGTGAAATTTCCGCCGAGTTCCGCTCCCGTCTGACTGTCCTCCTCGGCGATCTGTCATACCAGCCGGATGTGGACATGCGCTTCCTGGGCGTTGTGATGAATTTCAATGATGTCTATGAGCTACCTAAACGGCGGAAGGCGGCTGGTCCAGGTGCCAGGGATAAGGAGAAGGAAAAGGAAAAGGAAAGAGAGAGGGAGAAGGCGAAACGGAGGGCTGCTGCATCTGCTGCCACCGGGTCCGGGACTGAGAGTTTCGTGCAGAAGGAGGTGCGCAAGGAGAGGAGGGATACTGGGGCTAATGATCCTGGGTTTGCTTCTGGGACATAGATGTCTGCAGGTACATTCAAGTTCCTCTAGGGCATTAATGCAATTGACGAGTTCCACGATATTTCCCTTCTCATATATATACAAAACATCAGCTGAATACATAATAACCAAAAAAAGAGACTACTCGGAAGATAAGACAGACTAGATATTGGACAAAATGCCTGAGGCACCAAGCCAAACTAACTTCACTCCGCAATTGATCGGCAGAAAAAAAGTTGTCTCCGCCCAATCTCAGCACAAGTCGTCGCATTTACAGGCCCTAAACTTCAGATTTCAGCCTTCTTTATAGCGCTCCTTTCAATCTTTTTGTGTTTTGTCAGATCTTGTCTCAATCTACCCGCAGCAATGGCACACCAGACGGACGGCCAGTCCCCGTCGAAAAAGCTCGAATCGAAGCTCAAGAAGTCGAAGGGTTCTACAGAGGGAAGTGCAGACGCACAGGAATCCACTCCCAGTAAAAAAGACACCAAGTCCGACAAGAAGGACAAGAAAAAGCGCAAGTCCATTTCAGAGGATGCGGCACCGGAGACAGACGGCGAATTGAAGAAAAAGAAGAAGCGCCGCCATACCGAAGATGACGACCAGAATGGCAAGGATGATGAATCGCACAAGCAAAAGAAGAAGCGAGTCTCGTTTGGACCTGGAACGAAGGAATTCGACGGCGACTCCGAGAGCGAATCGGACGAGACTGACAACAACGACGCTGTCGCAACGGACGGAGCCGACGCGGACATCGAAGACGCCAGTGACCGGATGTTCGAAGAGATGAAGCAGCACAAGCGGGACAAGAAGAAGCAAAGGAAAAATGGCACCGCGACTGAAGCCCCAATCCACGAGACGGCTATTCTCTCCTACCTGAGCCACTACCACCGAGCACGCGCGACATGGAAGTTCCAAAAGAACCGCGAAACAAACTTGTTCAAGCATTTGTATTCGCTTGAGCATGTTCCCTCTAAGTACAACACATCGTTGCTGGCGTACATGCAGGGCTTGAAGGGTGATGCTGCTAAGCAGCGAATGAGCGATGCTGCGAGACAGGTGATCAAGGCCGATATGGAACTCGATAAGCCGAAGGATGACGAAGAGGAGAACCAGGAGCCTAAAGTTGCAAACCCTGGGTACCTGGAAGCTGTCAATGCGTTCCGTGAGTGCTTGCCAACGGGAAATGAGGACATGGACAACGTCAACTTCGGAGAAAAGTTGGAGGCCGACGTTCAGAAGCGTTTGCCGAAGAGGCAGCGAGCAGAGCTGGTCTTTTTCGCTGTTGCCGGCAAGCTTTTCAGCGCCGAGGATTTGAAGAAGCCGAAGAAGCCCAGGGCCGAGCCCCAGGTACCCAAGAAGCGGAAGAACAGAACTATGGTTGTTGATATCAGCAGCAGCAGCGAGGACAGTGATGATGATGCCCCGGCTCCGAAGAAGGCTGTCAGCAAGCCTGCGCCGGACAGCGATGATGACACCTCGTCAAGCGGTAGCAGCAGCAGCAGCAGCAGCGACAGCAGCGACAGTGACAGTGACAGCGACAGTGATAAGAAGGATAAGAAGCCTTCGGTTGCCCCGGCCCCAGTCCCAGCCCCAGCCCCAGCCAAGAAAAGTGCTGCAAGCACTCCTTCAGCGTCCGCCCCCAATGGTACTGGAATGTCGAAGAAGGATGCCAAAGCTGCCAAGAGGAAGGAGAAGTTTGTACCAGTTCGGGAAGAGAAGGCTAAGCCCGCTGTGCCGAAGAAGACACAGAAGCGAAAGCTTAGGACTGCTCAGATTGAGATCTCCAGCAGCGAAAGCGACAGCGAGTAGCTCTGATGGAATGAGGTTTGGATTGCTATCTAGGGTTTGGATGTGTATATATCTCTACCACAGCATTTGGGACGGTGTAATTATGTTTATGTCAAAAGTCATTTTATCCTCATGTCGTCCATAATTGATCTACATTGAAGTATGTAGACTATATGATTCGTTTTCTTTTCGATGTTGATATTTCACGCATTCAAGGTGAACGAGAAAATAACAAAAATTCTGAGTCATCCTTTTGATCATCCTACAGGTCCTCGTTATCCTGTGAAATATCTCGAACTCACCTCAGTAATAGTAAAAAAAACAACAATGTACGGCCCTGGAGTCAGTCGTTGATGAACCCCGGGCTGTTTATAGAGGAACCTAGAAGGCGGTGAAGCTGACCTCAAGCTTGAGCTCAGGCAGCTCTGGCACGCGTCACTGAGCAACCCCCATCATCTCATCCTCTTGAAGCCTCCTTTCTCATTCCTTTCCTTTACTGTTGTTAATCTCACTATAAAATACTTGAAGATCCGCCGTCATGTCTGGTATGCTCCCTAGTCGATGGCCCAGCCCAACCACATTACTTCATCCGCTGACCTTGGTTCTCTCCGCAGGAAGCGCCTACGATAGACATATCACCATCTTCTCTGATCAGGGTCGATTGTACCAAGTTGGTATGTATTGCCCTCAATGAATCCGCCTCGATCGGCCTCAATCCGTGCGCTGTCATCACCGCTGACCAACCATCTCCCCTCCCAGAATATGCATTCAAGGCCATCACTTCAGCCAACATCACCTCCATCGGTGTGCGGGGCAAGGACTGTGCCGTAGTGCTCTCGCAGAAGAAAGTCGCTGTAAGAAAGATTCCTTTATCGCTGGGGGTTGTACTCACGCTAATCCACTGTCTACCAGGACAAATTGATCGACCCATCCTCCGTTTCACATGTATTCCGGATCTCGCCTTCCGTAGGCTGTGTGATGACCGGCTCCATAGCAGATGCTCGCGCATCCGTCGACCGGGCCCGTGGTGAAGCTGCTGAGTTCCGGTACAAGTTCGGATATGAAATGCCGTGCGATGTCCTGGCAAAGCGACTGGCAAATATCAACCAGGTCTACACACAAAGGGTAGGATTTCCCATGCAACCTATTTAGAGAGATAGAATAGCTGACATGGTTTTGAACTCCAGGCTTACATGCGACCACTTGGTGTGGCTACGACCCTGATCTCCGTCGATGATGAGAGCGGCCCACAGCTCTACAAATGTGACCCTGCCGGTTACTTCGTTGGATACAAGGCGACAGCATCGGGACCCAAGCAGCAGGAGGCGTTGAACTACTTGGAGAAGAAGCTGAAGAACAAGGATGCGGCCCCGGGCAGCTGGGAGGAAGTTGTGGAGCTGGGCATCACAGCCCTCAGCAATGTGCTAAGCGTTGACTTCAAGAAGCATGAGATTGAGATTGGAATTGTTGGTGGGCCGCGGGCCGATGGCGAGGGAACCTCTACAGAGTTCCGTGCCCTGACGGAAGAGGAGATTGATGAACGGCTTCAGGCCATAGCCGAGAAGGACTGAGCGGGTATCTGCAAGCTATGGATGTAAGCGACCAGTAATGGAAGGACTTTTAGAGAAACAGACGATCTGTGAATGATAACTTCAATTGTTTTTTCCTGTCACTTTCAGCCATATCCCGTCTTGCATCTCCATAGCTATTAGAGCAGTCCATTTAGTATTCCCGACAGTTTGGATATTGATGCTATGGAACCTCAGCATACCACTGTATAGCGTAATGTCGGGTAGTCCGAGACCATATCAGCCTGCCAAAACTAGGAAACTCGCCACTTTAAGAGATGGATAGTATGGATTATTCATTACTATGGGTTCATCACAGCGTCTACTTGCATAAAACCTTGGAAAGCAAGGAGAGACACGCCCGTCCGGGCATGATACTAAGAGTGGATTGTGCGAAAGCCACATGTGGCTCAGTGGTGGCTTGGGACCATAAAAATTTATGCATCCAATAATTTGTTTTCTTCAATTTTTTTTATTTTTTATATGATTGGTCTCATTAACTAAAACTAGTCAAAGCTAGGAGAGTACTAAATGTGGCTAGTGTAAATAGAACTAAGAATAAATGTGGCAAAAGTCCAGCTGAACATGTTCTTTAACTTGTCAGATCTCCACTACACGTCAATTCCGAAGTTCAGGTCCGAATTATTAGATCGTCTAATGCAGGTCCAGGGCTGAGACTTCTTTTTTTTTTTTTTATGAAATTACAAGGGTCCCACGAGGATGCATCAATAAAAAAAAATTATGATTCTCCACTAAGTACATAGTAGTTCTTCTATATTCTCCAATCAGGATGAAATGCCTTAAAAGGGAAACCCCAACTCGATACAGGAACCTAATCTCATATGCGGGCCAACCGATCTCCACTTCCAATCCACACGGGATATCGATGTAGGTTTTTTTCTTCATCTCCACTGATCCCTTTCCTTGGGAATATGGTAGTAAACGGTTTCTCGGGAGCTTATGGGCCCGGTCCCCATCCCAGCTGTGCTTGACAATCCAAACTCCCTGATCGAGACATCTTGCCCGTCTATTGGTGCAGCTCATCCTCTCGATGTATCCTGACGCTCCGCTGTTGAGGGCTGATTTTTGATTTTTATGTATTATTTTATATGGGGTAATAGACACTTCCAAACTTTGGACTTATATCTATCCTCTTCCCCAGCTGGTGGCCTAACATTCTCGATTCCATGGACTAGCTCCTCTAACCGTTTCAATTCTCATTGGTCATTGATGTCCATTCTTATACATTCTACCTTCCTACTCGTCTGATCTTTATAACATTTAATATACCATGGCTGACGGACGTAAGCTGACCCCTCCAAGTCATATCAACCAACCAAATCACTAACCAACCCAGTCAATCAAGCCCGCGCTATGCGCGTCGCAGAGATAATCAACGACTACCGCACTCTCCTAGTCCACATCTCGCAACAACATGTCGAACCATCCCAAGAAGAATACTGGGAAGATGGCTTCGTGGTCCTCCGCGAGTCCCTAGCATCCGCCCAAACCCTAATGTCCGCCAATTACCAACCCTGTCCGGTAACAGGGGGGAATGTCGAGACCGAGAAAGCAGAGCTACAGAGGTACACATCTATTCCCAGCCACCAATTGGAATTATATCAAGCTAACTCCTCCCAGAGTCATACTGGACGGCAGCGCACGTCGATTCCAAGCACACAAGATCTACCTCCGCGCCGCCGCAGCACGACGATGGGCCATGACCCGCGCCAGCATCCTCCGCGGCTCAAGCGCAACAGCCCAGCACTCAGCAGCCCTGAAGAGCGCAACTGCCACGCTCCATCAGGATCTGGCTCGTTTCACGGACCAACATGTCGTGGCGGATTTGCGAGCTGCTGATCTGCGTGCTGGGCACTGGCTTGATGATGATCCGTCGTTGGAGGCGATCCGGCGCTGGGTTGTGGGTCGGTAATGGCACGGAAACGAAAATGGAAATGAATGCATGTTGCATGTGGTGGGGTTTTTTTCGGATTTTACCTTTTCCCAAGTGCTGAGAGTGACTGGGAGTTTGTATTTCTTTTAATAAGGGGACATATAACGCTGGTCGTTATTGTCGGCCTTTTATGAAGAGATAAAATGAGTTTGGATTCTTGCGTGGTTTTGGTTACTACGATATCCCCTCTTGTTTTTTTTTTTTGGGTTAGGTGTTATGAGACATTGAAAATCAAATATTGTTATAGATTCTATATTGTGTATGCTGTACTCTGTAGTATAGACAATATGCATAATGTACGGAGTACATAACGTAGGGTGAATAGAATAGCCCTAAGACCCCACAAACACCAAATATAAATTTTTGCTGCAAAAGATAGCGGCAATTAACCAGACACCTGGGCGCCGAGGCAGAGATACCAGCTGAAAGATCCACCAAGAGTGAAGGATCAAAAAAACGTTGTGTGGAGATGGAGAGACACGGCTTGCGAGGCTAGGGGCGTTAGGTCGGCTGTGTAGATCCAATCAAATCAACGAACGACCATATCGCGGCTGGAGTTCAGCTATAGATGGACTGGATTTTCAGGCGTTTCTTTTTCTTTCTGTCTGATTCATATTATGGATTTGTAACACGTTTTATTCTGAAACTGTGGGCTTCTGGATCACTTTCTACCTATTTCTTTTTTAGTTTTCTTGGCCATTGAGACCTCATCTTAATAGTATTAATGTAAAGTACAGAGTACGTGGGGCATGGACAAAGCTTTGTCGATCGTTTATATATGATGTATTACTCGGCGACCTCCGTGTCTAATGTGATAAACATATGGAACATAGAATCCATATGATGTGCTACAAATACTCAATTCGATATGCGTTGGTAAGGAAAGAGACTGCCCTGAAATTTTTGAATGTGCCTAGAATTTTGAGCACGTCATGCCATGACCTAAGATCGATCATCAGGATCGTATAGTTCTGGGAAGTAGAATCGCTTGAACAGCTTCTTGCCCTCCGTGGAAATCTCATCCATCTCATCCTTCGTGAGCTCGAAAGTCAGGGCCTCTGCGTATCCCTGCAGGCGCTCCTTCTTGCGCGTGGTCATTATAGCAACGATATTCTGCTGCAGGAACCACCGAAGCATGACAGCAGAGTCGGACACATTATGAGCCTTGGCCATGCGCTTCAGAGGCCCTACAAGGGGCCCTTCTAGGCAACAGACCAGTGGAGTAAGACCCTTGAACGCCTCTACCTGGATGCCTTGCTCCTGCCTCCAAGGAATATAGGAGACGCCATCGTTCTCACGCTATATGTATGGGTGATATTCTAGCTGATTCACGGCGGGAAGCTCCTTCGGGTTGCCCTTGAGGATCATCTCGAGGCCTTTAAGCACAAAATTGCTGACGCCGATTGATTTGGCTTTGCCTGAAGCCTTGACCTCCTCCATTCCAAGCCAGACGTTCTGGTAATCTTCAGGGGTGTGAAGATTCCAAGGCTTGTGAACAAGATATCTAGTGAAATATGAGTACTTGTGAAGCTGGGGTTATGTCTTGGGGGCTTATAGGTCAATATAGTCGAGTTGAAGTTTCTTCAAGCTCTCATCGATGGCTTTGGGAACGTCTTTAATCACATCCGCGACTTTGGTTGTGACGAAGAGCTCTTCACGATGGATACCACTCTCCTTGATAGCGTTGCCGACCTCGGCTTTATTGTCATACATCTCGGCACAGTCAAGGTGGCGGAATCTAGCTTCCAGAGCGTCCTTGGCCATTAGAACCAGATCTTTATCAAACTTGTCATGGTCGTCTAGTTCCATGCTATGCCGCTACCGAAAGCAAGCTAAGTAGGGTCAGCGGAGGGTAGCATTGACGTGTGATTTTTAAGTCAGGCTGATCATGGGCATGTTATTACCATCACGAAGACGCAGCAGATGGGTCTTTATAGCCAGATTGCCCGCCATGACGTGCTGAGTTGGCGAAGAGAATGTTGAGGCGATGCCTTGTAGACGTCGAAGGACTGCTGAGAAACTGTTGATGACCATGGAAGGGAGCAGCTAAGAGAAACGCGATCAAGACAACGCCTCCGGACTTTGGTCTATTGGATCCTACCAGGCAAGCTGCAAGCCCCCGGACCCGCATACAAGACAAAGACGCTACGCGGCCCGTGCGGGGGCCCATGGGCTAGGGCATTAGCACCTATGGCACCGTTTGGTCGGCTGTGTAGATTCAATCAAACCAATGACCATATCGCGGCTGGAGTTCAGCTATGGACTGGATTTTCAAGCGTTTCTTTTGCTTTTTGTTTTATGTTATGGATTTGTAACACGTTTTTATTCTGAAACTGTGGGCTTTTGGATCACTTTCTACCTATTTCTTTGTTAGTTTTCTCGGCCATTGCGACCTCATCTTGATAGCATTAATATTAACGAAGTACGTGGGGCATGGATAAAGCTTTGTCGTTTGCACATCATTTTCTTCGGCGACCTCCGTGTCCAATGTGATAAACATATAGAACCCCATATGATATCCTCTATATAGGTCAACCAGATAGGTTACATTAGCCAAGCACAGTTGAGGATCATAAGTCACGCTAAATTGTATAGGTTCATCGCATGACCGGGAAGGGCCCACGTGGAGTTTCCGATTGTGTATCACTCATATTTAAAATCCCCATGAATTCGGATTCTCTAAATATCAGCTTGATGTCGTCACTTGCCACAGATTCGGTCGATCTACTGCCGAAAATGTCTGGTCCATGCTTTCCCCATGTGGGGATATTTGAGGGCGTAGGTCGCCTGACCCGGGTTTTATAAGGAATTGTGTTTCGGTAATGTTAAGCTCTTTTCTACTTTGAGATACTTTGAGGTTTGTTTTGGTTCAAGGCATTGCTTCTCTTTATAATTCGGAATATATATCCGCTGAATTAGAAAATCAAGTCTTTGCTTAGCCGGTATAACAATGAGTGTGAATATGTATATTTAGTCATCATTCCACATGGCATCACCCTGTTTAGGCCAAGGGTTGCATTCTTTAACATCACGAGTACTTGAATCTTCTCATATCTTGCAGGTTTGAAAAGCAATATGCTACATAAAACGCGGGGATTGGCCATGAGGTTACATGGACTTGAACAGGTGGATGTGTCACACACATTATTCTTGGACCCTTCTAGACATTTAGTAAACATACATATATTCTTCAAGATGTCTCATACTCTTATATCTTTAGAAATAGAGATCTTCAACTTTGAATCTTCAATCTATTTATATTCTGCCTTAGTGCCTGATATACACCGCCACATGTGAGTCCCAACCAATGACGTGGTAATATATATAGCTAATTAGGCTGCGACATAAAGTGCCCCTCGAAATACTTATCTTTTAGTGTTTTGAAACTCTTCTTTAACTTGAAATTGTGGCTTATCGACTCGGTCTCATTACTTTATTTACCCTTGTGGCTGTTCTCGTGCAACACTTTAACTCTACCCCAACAATGTCTGAGATGAAATCAGTCGCCTACTTTGTCAACTGGGTATGTGCATCATTTTATATTTCAATTTGGACTGCATGATCTGCACTACCATAATGGGCTGAACACATACATCGAGAAAGAAACCATTGTTGACATCCATAGGCAATTTACGGCCGCAACCACAACCCACAGGATCTGCCCGCCCAGAAACTGACACACATCCTCTATGCATTCGCAAACGTTCGTCCCGAGAGCGGTGAAGTGTAAGTCCTTTAAATACCTACTACAGAAGATTTCCTAACCCAGGACTGTAGGTATTTGAGCGACACTTGGTCCGACATCGAGAAGCACTACCCGACAGACTCATGGAATGACGTCGGCGACAATGTGTACGGATGTGTTAAGCAGCTTTTCCTGCTCAAGAAGCAGAACCGCAAAATGAAGGTCCTGCTTTCCATCGGCGGTTGGACGTACTCGGCCAATTTCCCTCAGCCTGCAAGCTCCGACGCGGGGCGGACTAAATTTGCCGAATCGGCCACACGTCTGGTTCTGGATCTAGGATTTGACGGTATGTTCCTCGACTAGGTACTATGTACAATGCTGATGACTCTCCATAGGTCTTGATATCGATTGGGAATACCCCAAGGGTGAGTTGAAACCATTATGTATTCGCAAGAAGTCCAAAGCTCACATTCTATCCAGATGAAACCGAAGCCCAGAACCTAGTTCTCTTGCTCCAGAAATGCCGAGAGGTATGTCTCCTACCTCACAGCTTAGACCAGACTAACCGGGAACAGGTTCTCGACAGAGCGGCCGGTTCTGATCGCCGTTTCTACTTGACAATCGCTTGTCCTGCCGGTATGTCTATACCGTACAATGAAAAAGCATGAAACTAACCTCTACAGGCGCGAGCAACTACGAGAAGCTCAAGTTCCAAGAGATGACCCCATTGCTAGACTTCTACAATCTCATGGCATACGACTTCGCCGGAAGCTGGGATACCAAGGCCGGCCACCAAGCCAACATCTCCCCCTCAGCTTCAAACCCCGCATCCACTCCGTTCTCAATCGACGCTGCTCTAGACTACTACATCAACAAGGGCGGTGTACCACCATCAAAGATCGTCATGGGCATGCCGCTCTACGGACGTGCATTTGAGAACACCGATGGACCTGGTACTCCCTTCAACGGTGTTGGACAGGGTAGCTGGGAGAACGGAGTGTGGGATTACAAGGCGCTGCCTAGACCCGGCGCTGAGGAGAAATTCGATGGCGAATCCAGTGCGTCGTACTGCTATGATGGCGGTGCGCGCACGATGGTTTCCTACGATACCCCGCAGGTGGGGCAGCTCAAGGCGAAATATATTCGCGACCGCGGACTGGGTGGTGGGATGTGGTGGGAGAGTAGTGCGGATAAGGGTGGTAAGGCGGCTAATTCGGGGGATGGAAGTTTGATTGGGATCTTTGTTGATGGGGTTGGTGGTGAAGGTGCTTTGGATCAGTCATCTAATGCCCTTGAGTACCCCGAGAGCAAGTATGACAATCTCAAGGCCGGATTCCCGGAGTAGGTTGAGTGACAGCGGGTGTTGTACATTGCTGCAGTACAGTTGACTACGCATGTGAATATCGAAGTCTACGAATACATACATATCATTACGTGGGATATTTGAGTTTTCGGCGAATGCCTAGTTTTTTTTTTGTAATTGACTGTAGTACATGGGTATTCCAAGCAACCATCATCAACCAGCGTCAACCGTGACGCTCCATCACTTGCCCCGACGTAGAGGAACCATGCCCAAGCTCGGTGACAGGACACCACAGTCTGACTTAGACCATTTATTTGGCCTCGTCGAAGACGTAGGTGAGGTGGCACTTACCGCAGTACTGGCGGTTGTGCATAGCGGCCATGAAGACACCGGCACCACACTAAGAACGAGTTAGTTTCTGTTGGAGATCCAAGGGTATTGTCGCAAGACAAAAGTGGTCACATACCTCGGGAGCGGGGCACTCGCGGCGAAGACGCTCGATCTTTCCATCACCGTCAACCTTGTAGTACTTGAGGATGGCGAGCTTGGTCTTCTTGTGCTTGTGCTTGATCTTCTTGGGGGTGGTGTAGACCTTCTTCTTGCGCTTCTTACCACCACCACGCAGGCGGAGGACGAGGTGAAGGGTCGACTCCTTCTGGATGTTGTAATCCGAAAGAGTGCGGCCATCCTCGAGCTGCTTACCAGCGAAGATCAGGCGCTGCTGGTCAGGGGGAATACCCTCCTTGTCTGGTGGAACGTTAGCCTGTGCTTTTTTCGAGAGTTGTATGGGATGGTTGCGCGGGGATTTCGGTTCTTACCCTGGATCTTGGACTTGACATTGTCAATGGTATCGGAGGACTCCACCTCAAGGGTGATAGTCTTACCCGTAAGGGTCTTGACGAAGATCTGCATCTTGATGAAGGCCTGCGATGGAAAAGTCAGTGGGATGTTCGCGACGATGAAAATGTGGCAGACAGAAAGAGAATGGACTGCAGACTAGCTGCGCATGTCGACATTCGTATCTGCTTGTATGGAATAAAAACTCACCTCGACAGTTGTGTCTTCCTCAACCTTACAAGATTAAAGAAGATCGTTGTGCGCGGGCGCGGGTTGGTGATTAAAATGGTTGTGTGGTCACGTGGGTGGGTCTACCGAAAGTGGATTAGCTTGAAAGAAAAATCGAAAAATGCTTCCGAAGAGAAGGGCATAGGGTTTAGTTGATGAAGCGAAAATGTGGGCAATTTTCCATCAAATAGGTGCCATGGTCTAGTGGTATGACGAATCATTGTGGTCAGATACATCTGTACACATTCGTACTGATTTAGCCCCGGTTCGATTCCGGGTGGCGCCATTTCTTTTTATTTTTTGATTATTTTTTGATACTTTTTTTATGCTTAGAATGTCGAGATGCAGAGGTTAAAAAGGATAAAGATGTTGTCTAGGTCTTCAAAGAAAGCCTCTCTCTACCTCTGAGTTTTCCTGCGAATTCAGTTGGTCGCTCACTTTCGAATGTCCCGGGGTCGCTATTAGGGAGGGCTACGGCATCCGATCCGCAAAGGGTTGGCACATCACAGACTCACTAGAGTCCATGTATAAAGCCTTGGAACAGAGGTAGTGCCACTTTAAAGTGTATGTCGGCCCATGCATAGATAGCTTTGGGATATCGATTGGTGGAAACCGAGCAAGATCAATACCATGGAGTGTCTGTGGTACACCTGCCATAGACATTTCTTCCTTATTTAGAAAAAGCACACATTGAACCAGTGCTACGGAAGGAAATCTGGGGCGTATAATGGCGCTGGAAATTGATAGGAACGAAAATGTCGCCTGTAATACTTCCAGAGTCCCGAATGTTGTAGGGCAGCGACGGATGGTTTCTCCGGTGTTCTGAATCGCAGTGTCTTCCAGTTTGCTCATGTGGGTTCAGTAATTTACCAAGGTATAGAAAAACTTATTTTCCTTCTTTCGGGGGATATGTAGCTAGATCTATGGCCCTTCGTCGTTCTTGGGGTTTCCACTGGGTTTTCCTCTGCCGCTGTGTTTCGGATAATTACATCGAGTGAGGTCGTTATTGTGGATATTAAGGTACGTATTCTTAATTAAAAAGGATATTAGAGGACTAACCTGAGGCCTGTGCTGGCTGTAGAGCCCTGAGAGGCTGGACATAATGCTTTGGTGGCATTTGGATTGCCCATATTCCGACCCATATCTATAGTGGGGAGTAGGCACAACGGTGTATGATGATGGGATAAATCTGCTATGGGGTGGGGTTAGAATATGCTTTAATTTTCGACAAACAAGCAGAAGATGGCTAACTTTAATAACCTAGTCGAGGCTTGACAATGAGACATCTATCAGATGATCTGTCTCAGCAGTGATGATAGGTTGTGGGGCTTCTATTGAGACTCCAGTGGGATTTATTAGTACCTAGGGCCTCCTCCAAGATGATATATATCCACGCGTGTCTGATGTATTACATAGCCTTACGGCCCTCTTGCAACCTGCCTAGCTACATGGTATGTACATTTTCACACCCGAACTGCGCGGTCTAATGCATGTAATAAATGCGACAGATAAGATATTGCAAAAATACTTATCTATATAGAAGTTTGCCCGTGGTTCGGTGATTTTTGTATACTATATTGTCACATTGGTGTGGGTTAGGATAATCAAGAAACGTATACCAGAAATATATATCTAGAGGGTTTCGGGATGTGATTTCCAATTCCACGATAATCCGGGTTTTTAATATACCCGCGATTGATATATAAAAAATGCCCATCAATGGCATCAGCAAAAACAAAATAAAAATGTTGGTAGTTGAGATATGTGTAGCATAGATCACAGTTACTACATACCATGGTGTCTCGGCTGCACAATTCGCATGTAGTCCACATCTTCCAAGGTAACCTACTACTATTTATTTTATATAGCCCGCAAAATCGTATATAACTGTATTACTTCATTTGAATTCCGCACTAAAGTACCAACTTAACGTAGTTCACTTAGGTGGTCCACGCCCAAACACACAGCAAAAGCGACACAGTCATCACTTATATTTCGACAACCAACGTTTTTATTAATTACCATTACATGCCAACAGTAACTAACTAGCACGCTGTATTGGTATATTATATCAATATCAAATAAATCGAATACTTGCATTGCCGTGTTATAAAAAATTACATCGCTGATCTCTAGCATACTTGCACCGAACGATAAGTTATTAAATCACCGAACACTCTATCAAGTGGCCAGATATCATAGAAAATGCATTAGGTTATAATAAACGGTCCATATAGACAGCCGTTATTGCACTAACATGTTGTAATCTATCGCTTCTACTATGTGTTGTTAGCGTAGACCGCTCGCATGCGCAGTACGTTTTGCAAGTAACATCAGATAAAAAGGATAGAGATACCTAGCCAGATAAGCCAGATTTAGGATGAACAGAACTCTTAGTAGTTCGTGATCTGCCTTAACACAGACCAATTGGTGTAGAAAGAGAAAGACTACAACATACTCCGTATGAGGTACAGATACCCCCCTTCGCTAAACTGCCTAGGTACATCTCCCACTATCTGGTATGCTACAAAGTTGAGATTTATCGGATACTCCAACGGAACACACGCACAATAGATGTAAAAAGAAGATTATCAAAAAATATCAAAACTAAAAAAGAAATGGCGCCACCCGGAATCGAACCGGGGCTAAATCAGTACGAATGTGTACAGATGTATCTGACCACAATGATTCGTCATACCACTAGACCATGGCACCTATTTGATGTATGTGGGGCAGACTTTTGGTATTATCAAGATACAACTTCTTCACACTTTAATTTCCTACATATTGCGTGTATACATCTCATGGCTTTTTAGATATGACGAGTCTGTACATAGAGATCTATCTATTCATGGCTTCTAAGGGTTAAGTATAATATAAATCCCCTTTGCGTAGGTACCATAGTCCATAACCCTAGAGATCGTATCCGAGGTTGCTATTTTACAAAACCCTAAAGTTACCACACTACAACTCCAAATTTATAGGTCACATCTAACATCTTACCACAAGTAGTATCCTCTTATACTTTTATAGAAAGTCTACATCCACGCTCTATAATTTTCTTATTTATCTTACTTTTCTCATCCATTTCTATATGGATTTTACAAGAGTGCCAAGATACATCAAACAGGTGCCATGGTCTAGTGGTATGACGAATCATTGTGGTCAGGTACAACTGTACACACTTGTTCTGATTTAGCCCCGGTTCGATTCCGGGTGGCGCCATTTCCTTTTACTTTTTGACATTTTTTTTTAATATTGGCAAACGGGCTTCCAGAAATGGCCGCAAGTGCGAGAAGACTCCGATATGTTATTGGATTTGAATTTAGGTTTGTTTTGATACGCATATATGCCATTTACGCATCCCATGTCATTCTTAATCTACACATCCATCACGGGGAAAAAAATCAATCTTAGTATTCTAGGCAATTATTCAAAAGGTCTCAGTCCCGTTTATCGTGGGACTTGGTCGTTTGAAAAATCGTCAAGTCAGGTAGTTGATCCTTCGGACGTGCCTGCGGAGGTGTACTACCCAAGCCACCCAGGTGTCGGCCAGCCTCCGGGGGCACTGTAAGTTAACGAGTTCAGATTCCATTGAGGGGTCGTAAAGCTTCTCGGCGATAAGAAAGTCCTTGACACTCACGGGTTCGTACCGTCCCCCTAGAGACAGATAGTAAACCATTGTATGTCCCTCAGCATCAGTCAGCTGATGATCTAGGCCTCTTTGAATCAAGAAACGGACCATGCTCCGGAGTGACTTGCTTGCAGCCAGGTGAAGCGCTGTAATTCCACCTGGGACAACTCGAGCATGAATATCCGCGCCGGCTGCTAGAAGCGCTTTTACTCGCTGAATGGCGCCACTGCTGGCGGCGCAGTGGAGGGGAGAGACCATATAAGATTGGGATTGGGTGACATTGCTTTCCGAAGTCTAGTATATATTCTCACGGGAGGCCTTTGCCACCGATCTCGGAAATCGCAAAACCTTACTGTCTGCTGATACCATCACATCAGCACCATGTTGGATAAGACACTCAACAAGGGTAGGATCGTCCTGTCCATCATCTGATTGAAGGATAGAACCGTGTCTATGAGCAGCTGCTAGGTGAAGAGGGGTATGATTTTCTGGAATTGATACGATTGATGGATTCGCTCCTTGTTCAAGTAAGTAATTGGCCATCACGACCTGGTTGTTGCATGCAGCAAAGTGCAGTGGAGTCCAATAATGACAATCAAGATCGTCAATAGTAAGATTACTATTATCAAGGATCCGTTTGAAAGTCTTGGTTTTCCCAGCCTCGGCTGCTAGATGTAAAACCGAAGCATTCAACTTAGTCCGACAATAGATATCAGCACCTGCAGCAACAAGCATCTGCACCGTTCTCAAGGGACAATAAGAAATAGCAACAAGTAGAACTGTCTCTCCAAATTGACCTTTTTGGTGAACATCAGGTGATGACTTAAGCAATTCTTTAATACGGCTTCATTACCAACACGAGCTGCTGTTAAAATAGGCGTATCACCCGTCACAGTTAAGGCATTGATACCTGCGCCCGAAGCGAGTAATAAACGCAGTACCGGTAGTCCGTTCTGTACTCCAGTCGGAAGACTAGCTGCACGATGTAATGGCGTTTCCCAACGAGAATTCTCAAGATTGATCGTAGCACCTTCCTGCACTAACAACTGAAGGCATTCCAAGCGACCCCAACAAGCAGCGCGATGAATAGGTTCGTCACCTCGATAGCTTGGCCATGCCGTGCCCCGATAGCTAAGCTTCTTACGGTACTCTATAAGCATCTTTAATATTTCCACGTCGCCCCGGCCGGCCGCTATTAGCAACTCGTCATCGTCCATATCCGGCCCGGGGTCAGTGGGAGATTGGACGTCATATTGGATGAGTAGTTGTATGATTTCGCGTCTGCGTAGCCGGACGGCGATTTGCAATGGGGCTCTCTCTAAACCGCCGTCAGGTGAAACACCATCTGCAAGAAGTGCGTTGACCTTGGCGATGTCGTTCTTGCGGATCGCTCGAACGAGCTTCCTTTCCCGCGTTTCCTGTAGCCGGGTGATGTAGTCCTGGTTACAGTTCTCTTGCTTTGACAGGTCAGTAAAGAGGCCTGACATGCTGGTAAAAAAGTCCGACATCCCGGGAAAGGAAATTTGGTCAGAGGAAAGGGAGAGAAAAGAGGGGAGAAAACTCATACGATATACATATCCGTGTACTAGTACTATGGGGATACCAGAATAATTTACGTAGTCAGGTGATAATCCCTGTGCCAAGAAGACCTATGTATGAAGAGGACTAAAGATACTATGCGGATAGTCAAAAACCACACTAAGGGGTGTGCGTATATGTCGGTTCGAGAATAAAATGAAAGAAGTTATATGAGAGAAGCATGGAATACCTTCAGAAGTTACGAGACGGAGTAGGATGGGTGGAAATAGCATATGAAAAAGTATACCTCACTCTGAATAGCTTCATGATTACCTCATTTGGCTGAGAAGGATCCAGCCAATCCAATATAAGAGGCGTCTGTGAAACGCAATCTACAACTCGAATATGATATTTGAATAAAGCAGATTTGTATATATGGTGAGTTATAATAAGTTTCTAAAGACGTAAAGACTTCTGTAGTACGGAGTACTAAGAACCAGTATTGATGAATGTATCGTTTGTATGGTCTGCCTAGTAAAAGGTACAATTACATATGGGTGGTGGGTCCGATTTTAAGGCGCCGGTTATGGATTCAGGACTAAAGGAACGATGCTCCGAGCTAATCTTGCCTAAGTGGAAATATAGGAGATCGTACATAAGTACATACAATAACTAGTTGTAAGGAAATCCGCTTTTGTTCATATAACAAAAAGTGTCGACCCACATATATCAAATAGGTGCCATGGTCTAGTGGTATGACGAATCATTGTGGTCAGGTACAACTGTACACATTTGTTCTGATTTAGCCCCGGTTCGATTCCGGGTGGCGCCATTTCTTTTTATTTTTTTTTCCCTCGTATCACTTGGGTGAAGGGGGAAAATGTCCGTGTTGCTAGAGAGTCTCGTGACTTCGAAGGCCTTGATTCAGAGCTATAGATAGCCCTGGAGACAATATCCCATGTTGGACAGGTCGAATAATAGATATTGATATGACGCCATGGGTCTATCGGCCTATCGGTCTATCGGGATAAACAGACATGGAGCCAATAATATTTATGCGATCGACTTGTTTATATTGAATCCCCTTGGAAACGAACCGAGGAGTTGTTTAATTTTGTAGTTCTATACACTATTATATGGACTTTCTAGGGTTCATCAAAGGGATTTATGAAGTCCTTGCAGAAGAATAATAAATTGTAAAGCAAGGCGGTCAAGTAAAATCGAGGACGAGGTCCCACTTTTCGTCAGAGCCCTTTGGTTTCCCAGACGCCCGGGGTTGAGTCGTTGCTATGCCAACGCCCCGATTTGTTGATCAGAACGGGGCACATAGATCTGGGTTCCAGAACCAAACCTTGGAAACCTTCATACATTCGTGTTTCTGCTCTTCTTCAAGAAATTCTGTGTGACACATTTGATAACTTGAGGCTCTAACTACTCCTTTTCCCATCTGGTTCCATTGCTTTCACATTCACATACTGACACCTCATTCAGGACCCCAACCGTCGGCAATATAGCCATGAACTCCAACGCGCTCGGAAGCGGTCGTCATCGCCGTCAAATCTCCACACCGGCTCCATTCGAGCTTGCGCCAGTCATGACCAATATGCAACCCCGTCGGTCACATCGTCGAGGCCAGACTGTGGACTACAGCGCCTTCAGTCAACAGGCCACTATGGACCGACACATGCCGAAGACGGTATCGCAGTTGCGCGATTATTTTAACGAAAAATCAGGTTTCTCATATCAACAGAGGGAGCAGTATCAATCATACACCCAGCAGCCCGAGCGATCTTTCATCCCAGCCATGCACATGCAGCAACCATATCAATATCAACCTCACCAGTCGCTCGGGTCTGACTGTCAGGCTTTCAACCAAGAACAACTGCAAGCGATTCACACCACTACTGGTAGCCCTGCGCCTTCCTCTGTTGGTGCCCCGGCTTTGTCTCGATCAGCCAGTGAATGCTCCGAAAATACACCATTGAAGCTTGCGCTGCACCGTATGCAGCAGGAACAATTCTCGAACCAGCAACAGCAACAATTCATTGGAAATGCCGATTGGGAATTGTTTCCTCAGCGCAACATGCCAATGTCCCAAAATGAGCAGGTGACGGCCTATGCCGGTTCGATGCACCCAGTCTCTGTTCAACCAAAGGCTCCATCTGCGAAGATTCTTTCGCAAATGTCTACTGCTTGTATGCAACTTTCGCATCAGTATTATACCACCTAAGCTAATTATATGGCAGACAATTCCCCAATGACCCCCGATTCTACCCCATTGAAAAGATCTATTGATTATTCCATGTACAGCAATGACCCAACATCTTCCAAGTCCCAAAGTTTCTCATTTCCCCATACCCCTACAACTGCTGAGATGCAGAGAGCTCAGTCTTTGCAAGGAGCCCCCTATGTCGAATCCGTGCAGATTAAACAGCAAATGCCCTCCCCCGTCAATTCCCCGATTAGCTCGTCTTTTGCCGAAGTTGCCGATATGCCATCTCCGAGTTCATATGGAATGACACCTCAAAATTCCACTGCCTCTTTCAAATCTTCCACTGGCAGGACTAAGAAACGAGCCCCGTCAACTGTGTCGTCTTCCAACGAGCTAGCTGCTCGCGATGATGACCTTGATGCTCGAGTCAAAGCCTCAGTTCAGCAAACCGGTGTCTCGACCGACGAAATCGCCAAGTTCATCTCCGGCCCCGACCCCAAGGATGGAAAGTGGGTCTGTCTATTTACGGGCTGTCTTTGCCGCTTTGGTCGCAAGGAAAACATCAAGTCCCATGTCCAAACACACCTTGGAGACCGTCAGTTCAAATGCGACATTTGCGAAAAGCACTTTGTGCGCGGACATGATCTCAAGCGCCATCTCAAGACACACAGTGGCAATAAGCCCTTTGCGTGCGCCTGCGGTGCCAGCTTTGCTAGACAGGATGCCCTCACTCGTCACCGCCAGCGCGATATGTGTGTTGGAGGCTTCACAGGTGTGGTTCCAAAGACCACCAAGCGTGGTCGTCCCCCGAAGAAGAAGACCAGCCGCCCGGATATCGACACTCGCCAGGCTAAGTCCACTCGTACTCGTCAACGTGTTGCCGAGAAAGCCTCTTCAACCGCTTCAACCAACACCCATGTCACTCTGCAAGATGCCCCTGTGTTCAACTCGCCTAACTATGCCCCATCCGCTGCTGTCTCGTCTTTCACACCGCCCACCTCCCCCGGGGACAAATACCACCGAATTTCATCGCCATGTCAGACCTACAACTCCCTCGATGCCCAGCTCGAGGATGACATGCTGCCCTTGTCACCGCCCCAACTCGCTCACGCTAGATACGAGCAGGCAATGGCCCAGTACGGATCAGATTTCGGTTCGCAGGCATACTCGCAGGAATCTACGTACTCCCAGGAGTCTCTCTACAGTGAATCTGCTCTTTCGCCTCGGGAGATGTCTTCCCCTCGCTCGGCGCCCACTCTGGCTGAATCATCCGTCGGCTCGGAGATCGATATTTTCATGACTCAAGATCCCTCCGACGACTTGCGAGAGGAGTTCGGTCATCTCGCTCACTCGGGGATCCCTGGTTTCCCGACCTATCAGTTCGTGGATACAACCGACTTTGCCTCCGTTTCGTCCTATTACCCAGAGAAGACCTTTTCTGGTATTCCCCACTTGGATGATGACCTGACGGACCCAATCGACTGCTTGTCCAGCGAGTTCCTGGTGGACCCTTGAACGGTTCTTGTTACCCAAAAACGACACGGCGATATATACGGCGTGGCTTATCATTTTCTTCACGGCTAGACTTCTTTGCAACGATACGGGACGACCTTGTACACTTTAATGACCCACGACAAAATCGGGCGTTTTCTTTCTCTGCACATTTCGGGATTTGACACAACTTTGCGGACTTGCGGGTGTTTGGGCTATTTGCTTTTTGCCCCCTTTGCCCTTATTTCCCCCTGTATTTCTCTTTTTCTTTTGTTTTTCATGCTTTTCCTTTGTCTTTTTCATGCTTTGATTGTTCACGTCCCTTTGGCCTTAGCTCATCACTTCGATGACGTTTCATGTACGGCGGCGTGCTTATTCCCGGTGTTTACCATTCTTTTCTAAATTTTCATGATGCGATATGTATTTGATGTCTTTACTTTCAATGGATCTTTTCTGTACACCTACCCTGTCAACAAAGGATGGTTTGTCTGAAGGATTATTTCCCTTCCCTGATAGACATAATTGAGGATAGCCTGTACTCTACTGTTTCAAATTTTCATGCCTACAGATTACATCTGCTCCCATATCATCTGTTGCTCTATCGATTGTAGAATTAGGCTCCAACCTGTACTTCATCTTGTTAGATTAAGGGAAAGAAGGCCGTACAAAGGAGTCAGTACAAGAGAAGAGAGAGCAAATTGTCTGAATCCCAGTGACCTTAAGTCTACCGATGTGTTCCCTCATAGGTATTCGTACACGAAGAAAATTACAGATATTAAGATGCCACTCTGGGCAAAGCGCATTTCTATTTGGAATTTCTAATTACTCTGCGTTAACGAATCAGTGTCTAACAGTCCCTCGCCACATTCTATGCCGGGATTTCTATGCAACTATAATCACATCCCAATAGGCCGACCTAATTCCACTAGGACCATAACAGGGATATAGTAATGTAAACATAACCCATCTACTTCGAAGCCCAGGTGATCTCGATCTCGATAGGCCGCCCCCCTTGCGAAGCATACACGGTACTCTGTGTACGCCCCTTGGGTGGATTCTCGGCATAGAAAGTAGTGTGATCACTGTAAGCGAGCTTACCATCTTTGGCCTATATGCAGTGTGAGAATATGAGATGATATCTTGTAAAAAGTGATCTGGGATATACATACGGTGAACTCGCTTGGTTTGTTGACGTGAGGTCCGCAAGCAAGGGCATCTCGCTCGAAGGCGCAGGGCCCCTTGCTAGATTTCAGAGTAAATATATCATCTGCAGGATGCCATTCGCTTCATGTTAGCAAGCAATAGTAGACGGGTCATATGCAGAAAGCACAGCTACGAACCTGATATCTTTTCGGCCCGGAAAGTGGCACAGGTCCCTGACGAAAACCATGTTCCGTAGCTGATGATACAGCCATGCTTTCTGCCAAGTCTCGATACAACCAAGTTACCTCGGCCTGCAAATGGAGTGCCAGGAGCTGTGGGTGCCGGGTGACCACCTGTGGTTGTCGGGGAAGGCTCATGTTGAGCATGCTTCAGTGGATACTTGATTCCCCTGGAGGGGCAATTGGATTTCTGCCCGTCTGATCATTTTGTAAGCTTGGCGTCTACCTAAGTAGGTAAATCTGGCTTTGACTAACCTGGGCCTGCAGAGATGAATTTCCCGGACTGTAGACTTCCTGCAATATTGAAATGGTACCAAATCTCATTGATGGCGCCGCCCCGGCAACGGATAGTGACAGGGTTTCCATGGGCTTGTTCCAGTGCAGCTTCAATATCGGCAAGAGCATAGGTCTGAGTCTGAGATGGTGTGATGCCAGCACTGGCCAGGAACTTATGCATAGTCAGTGGTTCGATCCGAAAATATAGTGAGTCATTGATCGAGACAATCGAACTAACCTCATAGGTAGGCAATTCCCTGTAAACCTCAACAGTTTTGTCAAAGTAGTCCACGACATCCTGTTGCGGCAGGTAGTCCGTGTAGCAATGTGGTTCCAGCGTGCTGACGCAGGTGCCGTGCTTGTTCCACTCGTGTTGCCATAGATTGCTGTCATCACCACGGAAATCCTTCCAATACTCGCTCATGTATTCGAGCAAATCTCCCCGGCCCGCGTCTACTAGAATCAGTGAAATGTTGCTGTACTTGCGTCCGGAGTCGCAGAACTGATCAAAGCCGCCATTGCAGTGATCGGGCCTGAAGAGTTAGTGTTATATTCATTCAACTCTGGGGATGTAGAACGAGCTCACCATAGTCCATGGATAGTCCATGCATCTTCAGGGCCGAGTGCAGGGTCGACATCCCAGAATTGCGTCTGCAGCATTTGGCCACCGGGGTAGTTGAAACAGCATGTGTCTTGACCGTGGTATTTAGCCTGGCAACTTATTTCCGAGACAGGGCATGATGACGAAGTTCCAGGGTTTGTATTCTGGTTCGAAGTCTGCGAAAGCCAAAGCGAGCCAAAGGTCTTGAGGATCTTCTGAGGTCCGGGGACCCCCATGAACTGTTGTGATGATCCCCGCATCATCGATGGCAGTCTTTCTCCGTGATCTTAGGGAGCACACTTGTTGAACTGACACAGAAAAAGGATATAAGAATAGAAAAAGTATATAAGTACTAGGAGGTCGTATTCAGAGAAGGGATAGGTATATTCAGGAGGCTACAAAGGTCATCGGCGTACTATCGAAGTTGCCTCGTGCGGAGTCTCATATGACTAAGCGCGGGGGCAGCTGATAAGGGTCACCTGGGCTTTGTTTACTTGCAAGGCAGCAGCTATGCTTTATATTGCACTCTTTTGGAGCTGAACATGGTCATTTGGGGTATTATGCTTAAATTCAAGAGTGAAGGGGTATCATAGTTAGTACACAGTGGGCAAAATAATCTCACCGAGCTTGCGCCTGTCATTTCCGGCCTCAGGTGACTCTATGCCTCCTGCTTGCGCGCCTCCTCCTGTTGTTCATGTACTCTTTCTTTCCATAAACGTAATACTTCAAAGCCAACTTCAACGGCAATAAGCAGAATGATAATCCATTCTAGCCGGAGACCATGTGTCTCACTAAGGCGCTCCCGGAGTACACTTGCGATCTCTTGCGCATAGTCCATCTTCTCGTTCAGCAGTTTGATGCGAATTCCAACATCTAAAGCTCTGCCAGCCTGCTCGTAGTATCCCTCCAAGCCGAGCTCGTGTCGGCTGTCCCAAAAGATATCAGGAAGGGAATCAGTGAGCTCGGAATAGAGATTGAGCTGCGCTCGGACACTTAGTAGTTGCCCGGTCTTGCGGAGGACAAAATCTCGTGTAAAAGGGAGTCGGGACCCTTGTGATAGGAGGGTCGGAATTGGCCGAGTCGATTCAAAATAGTTTGAAAGAAGGCTCTCGAGGACGGCTAATTTCGTACTCCGAGCGAGACCCGACGAAAATGCAACCTTGGTCAAAACAGTGTCGACGGATTGTTGCGCCGCTGGCAATCTCTCTGCATCTCCGTGACCAGGGTTGGTCCCTAGTATAATTGTGTCCCCTTTAATCACACTGTTCTCCCGCTTCGGGTCCTCCACAAATTCAAGATCCTCGGTTTCCAAATCATCCACATGGGCGCCTTCTGCTGCAGGCAAGAGAGTTCGTGTTGCCAGGAATGATGTGAATCCTTCTGGGAGCGACCACGCTACTACTGTGCCGGAGGGAAACACAAATAAATCACCTACTTCGTCGGATGGTAGACCCGTGCTGGAGGGATTTGTCATGCGCTGTATGGAGTCCAACGGTATCTGAACGTGAACGACTTGAGGGAAGAGCCCAGTTTCCAACGGGTCCGGTTCGTACCCTCGTTCTTGTAAAATATCTCTGACTTGGCGGATGTTGAATTGCTCGGCTACGGCGTATGCGGTTACTGTCTAGAGACATCAAAAAATTAGTGGAAGGAAATTATAGGAAACCTGAGTTATGCATACCTTAGTCCGATATAACCCCTGCTCTTTAAGAAGCGCCTTGGAAATAATGCCATCCTTCGACCTCTGTGCCTCTACCGCTACTCGCCGCAATGAAGTGGGAGCTGCTGGTAACCTAGGCCCCCGTCGACGTTGCTTTTGGGAATCAGCGGAAAACTCAATTGGCTCATCGCTGTTATTTTGTTTTTGTTTCAAATGGGCATTGGAGGAGAAGAAATCTTTCCGTCGGGGAAGTGCCAATGGAGGAGAGACATGGAGGTATTGGATCTGTGGTCGCGTAGGAAGACGTAATCCTGTTCGCTTGCAGCTCAAGCAGACATGAGGCCTGGCAAACATCGTGTGCATGTGTTTGAGGAACGAAAACCTCAGTTGCTCGGTTGGTCGATGACATCGTTTTGCAGCCCGCGGCCCGATACCCCGCTTAGTCATGGGACCAAGCTCCCGACGGGCCCTGACCTACCCCGGCTCAACTGTAGAACCACCGTTTCCAGCTTGTCGCATTCCACTTCAACCAGCTTGGGAGCTGCAGGTGCTGAGAGGGATTCGCCATGGACGCGCCTGGCGCGACATCGCCGGACGAAAGTGCCGTTCAGAGCACTCCCAAGCACGACACATCCATACAAACCAGCTCACCTACAGACACGACTCAAGGCGCCCAAGATATACACCAACGATGCAATGACAGCAGCTCTAGTAGCAGCAACGATGAAGAGGAAGAAGAGGAGGAGGCCGAGGAAGAGGACGACTTGGACGACGAGGACGAGGAGCCTCGCCTCAAGTACGCATACCTGACGAAGCACCTGGGCTCGGTATATCGCAACGGGGATGCGACAAGCTCGTTCCTAGTAGCAGGAGACAAAATGGTATGCAATTTTACGAAATATATACTATGCAATGAGCTAATAATATGCCCAGGTCGTCGGGACACACAACGGTAACGTCGTAAGTTAGCCACACCTCCGCGCAGACATATGAGCTGACCTTGTCAAGCATATTATGTCCCTGCCACTGCTACAATCCCTCCGTGTATATCATGCACATACAGCAAGTGTCACCTCGATATCGGTATCACCATTTCCGCCTCCGCTCCCGAACCTTAGGCAAGATACTTTCAAACAGACCGCAGAAGAATACAGACCATCCACGCGATCGTCTAATACCGCCGGCAGCATCCGCGGAGGAAAACTGGGTAGTTATCCCACCGTCCCTTCCACACCATCGAACTCCATTTACATCGGAACATCCTCAATCGATGGCCATGTGTGCGTCTCCTCGCTGGTTGACCCTAAGGATGTGCTATTGCGCAATTTTGGCCGCCCAGTTCAATCTATTGCTTTGTCTCCAGAGTATAAAACTGACCGGTCATACCTGTCTGGTGGCCGAGCGGGTGAATTGGTCCTAACAGCTGGCGGTCGTATTGGAGCGACCTCCAACTCGACAACAATGGGAGGTGCGGCCGCCACAGCCTCTAGTTGGCTTGGTTCCATGGGTCTGGCATCAAATAGCGGAAAAGATACCATTCTTCATAGCGGCGAAGGGGCTATAAGCACAATTAAATGGTCACTGTCAGGAAAATACGTGGCCTGGGTCAACGAGGAAGGCATTAAGATTATGCGGTCAAATCTGCATCTGGATTCTTCAGAGACCGAATTTGCTTGGAAACGAATCAGCCATATTGATCGTCCAAATCGCCCCGGCTGGGAGGAAATGGCCGGTGTTTGGAAAGCACGCGCAGAATGGATCGACCAGTCAGCTTTAGACAGTCGGGACAATCTCGATCCGAATGAAGATTCTACAAGTCCAGAGATACAGTCAACTGTGCTCACTGAGAAAGTGGAAAAGCTTGTCGTCGGTTGGGGAGGAACCGTTTGGGTCATCGATGTCTATCCCGAAAGGGCAAGCAAAACATCCAAGGGCGAGAAATTGGGCTCTGCAGAGGTTGTCACAATGTAAGCACGGAACTCTCACGTTTTGAATTGTTCATCCCTAACTTTGAACACAGATTACGAACAGATTGTGTGGTATCCGGCATATCATTGTATACACCTCGTCTTCTTGTCATTCTCGCATATATGGAAACCGAGGGTGAAAATACAAGCAACGGAAGAAGCAGTGGGATCCGCAACCGAAAGAAGGGTCTAGAACCTGAACTTCGTGTCATTGACATTGAAACCAAGGAAGAAATCAGCGCTGATACACTTTCAATTAACCGATTTGAAGGCCTCTCTGCGTCTGATTATCATCTAAGTGTCTTGCCTCCGTGGAAGACCCCCGAGGGACAAGTCGTCCAGCGTGGTGCCCTGGGGGCTCTTGGGTATGGGCTTTTGGATGCTACCATGTACTCCGCGCGGCTATTTAGCTCCGGCGCCAGCATCCGCAGCACCACAAGTAGTGGCGACAAGGGGTCTGGTAGGGTTGCTCCCTCTTTCATATCCAAGCTCCACGCGGCTGAAGATGCCCTTCCGAAGGAGGTGCAGGAAGTTTCAGGTGCTCCTGGCGCCAAGATCTTTGTCCACAGCCCATATGACTGCGTTGTTGCAGTCAAAAGGGATCTCGCGGACCGTCTGTCCTGGCTTGACTCTCATGGCCAGTACGAGGACGCATGGCGTCTCGTCGATGAACATCCTGAAGCTGCGGGCTCGATACCTGACGTAACCGAAGCTATCCCCGAGGCTGCAGGGAGGTCCCAAACTAGTTTAGGTGAATTTTTCGATGATCGGTCGTCTATCATGACGGCCGGTCGAACAAAAGTTTCTGCCGCTGAACAAGAAAAGGCTCGCCTTGGGGAACTTTGGATCAACCAACTTGTCAGCGAAGAGAAGTGGATTGATGCTGCGAGAATTTGTGGCAAAGTCATCCGTAATGCCCCACGATGGGAACACTGGGCATGGACCTTCATCAAAAACGATAAAATCGACGAGATCACTTCCCAAATCCCAATCGACTTGAATCCATCGTTGTCTTCTCGGATTTATGAAGTCATTCTCAGTCACTATGTGCCACGAGACTTGGCCAAATTCAAAGAACTCATCGAAACATGGCCATCCGATTTGTTTGATGCGAACATTATTACAGAAGCTATCGAGGCATATTCGAAATCCAAATCAGTGCGTGCCGGGTCTGAGGAGTGGCGAATCCTTACAGATTGTCTCGCCAAGTTGTTCCTAGTAGGAGGGCATTACCGTGAAGCCTTGCGTTGCTATATTCGATTGCAAGATGGAGATGCTGCTATGGCTTTGGTTCGGGAACACCGCTTGCTCGATGCAGTCACTGATGATATACCGGCCTTCATTATGATTCGTGTCTCCGAAGAGCAAATGAACTCGGCCATGATAACCGAACTGGAGGAGTTGACATCCGAGCCCACGCGACTTCTTGTAAGCGAAGCATACACGGGCATTGTTCCCCCGGAAACTGTGGTATCACAGTTGATCGCTGCAGATCGGTTCCTGTTTCTTTATTTCTATCTCCGTGCGCTCTGGCGAGGCGAATCATTACCACACGATGCGTCTAAGCCCAGAAGAGGACGTGGAATTCATGCTCGGGATGCAGCCAGCAAGCTTGCTGCCGATGAAGGCAAAGCCCTGATTGATAACTTTGCCGACACGGCCGTTGAGGTATTTGCCGACTACGACCGGCCTCTACTGATGGAGTTCCTCCAAACAAGCATATCTTATTCATTCGAGAAAGCCACATCCATATGCGAAGACCACAAGTTCACACCGGAGCTGATTTTCCTCTTGTCCAAGATGGGCCAGACGAAGCGAGCCTTGAACCTGATTCTATCAGATCTTAAGGATGTTTCGCAGGCGATTTCATTTGCAAAATCACAGGATGACCCTGATCTATGGGAGGATCTACTTGATTACTCAATGGACAAGCCAAAGTTCATTCATGGACTTCTTGTCGAGGCCGGAACAGCCATCGACCCAATAAAGCTTGTTCGCCGGATTCCAAGCGGACTGGAGATTGAAGGTCTAAGAGAGGGCCTCACTCGCTTGATCCGTGAGCATGATCTGCAGGCTAGTATCAGTCAAGGCGCGGCTAGAGTTATGCAAAGCGAAGTTGCACTTGGGATGGACACGCTGCGCAAGGGTCAGCGCCGAGGAATCAAGTTCGATATCATCTCGGACGCAGAGGAAGATCGCAATAAGACACCGACACCAAATACCCCTCAAGATCAATCCGTAACCACTGCGAGGAAATCCAGCCCTGGACAGGGAAGATGTGGCGGTTGTAATGCCGCCTTCCGGGCAAACGGTATTTTGATTCCCCGTTCCTTATGAAACACAATACTAATAACCGTGCAGAGCGAGAAATTCTCGTCGCCTTTGCTTGTGGCCATATTTTCCATCTATCCCACTTGCACTCAGACACATCACAGCAACAATCCGGCGCGAGCAGCCGTGACCGATCTGCGGATATTACACCCCGGCCCATGTCCCCAGTTGACGAAACCCGATCTGCCACTGCCTCTCGCACCGTTGGCCCCAAAGTCACGACGGCAAGAATCCTGCGAGACAAGATCGGTGATGGATGTCGCCTCTGTACTCTGTCAAGAGATATTGAATCCCTTGGTGAAGTCGAGGTTTAAACTCTGTTGGGGTAGAGACATACCCATTTACATGTGTGTATACTCCATGTGCACATACCTATGCATTCTCCTTGTTTCTCTGAGATACCCTGGCTTTTAGCCAAGCTACTGTACCCGTTGGGATATTAGCATTCATCCTGGTTATCATGGCCATTGATAAAGTTGCGTGTTGACTGCTTTGGCTCACATACGAATGACGTTCTGTTTATCTGTAATATTTGTTTCGCAGAAATATAACTACCCGAATGCACTCAGCTTTCTATTCCTTAGATTACAACTAGAATTTGAGGATCAGTGGCTATATATACCTTTCTCAATCTATTCAGATCGTCATATAGCTTGGCCTCTCCAAACCTCCATTGAACCATTATCCGCTATTGATAAGGTTACTAAAGATGCTATCTTTCCTCCTCAGAATAGCAGGCTCATCCATCTCCACCACCATTCCCCGATCTAAACCGATAACCAAATCATAACTCAAAAGAGTATGAACACGATGCGCAACCGTAAGCACCGTACACGCACAAAAAGGATCCTGTTCCAAAAGCCCTTGGACCCGGGCCTCAGTTTTCGCATCGACGCTACTGGTACCTTCATCAATCAACAAGACCCTAGAGTTACTCGCTTGTATTTTCAACATCGCACGAGCAAATTGTAGCAGTTGTTGCTCGCCTCGCGATAGCGAAGTGTCATTTATCTCGACATCTAGCCCACCTCTTTCGAGTAGTACCTCCCAGATCCCAACCCGGTCGAGAGCAGCAATGATATCTCCATCCGGGTGGAGTCCGGCGGGATCGAGATTGAATCGGACTGTACAGCCACCTATGATCAATGGCTTTTGGGAGATGGTGACGAGTCTTTCGCGGACTGTATCGGGTGATATAGTAGTGAGGTCGATGTTGTCGATGACAATTGACCCGTGGGTTAGGGTGAGCATGCTCAATAATGATGATAGCAAAGAGCTTTTTCCACTGATGGACAGTTAGCATGGATGACTCTAGATATCATAAGGCGATCATACCTCCCAGTACGTCCGTAGATGCCGATTTTCTGACCAGGCAAAAGTTTCAGAGAGATATTTCTTAGTACTGCCCCAGAACTTTGGTTTGTTAATAATGACAAAATATGGGTTTGTGCGAAGTACGTACTTGTATTGTGCAGTCATGTCCGAGAACTGAATAGCTCCCTGACTTGGCCAGTCGATGGGAATTTCTACCTCCGTTGAAACTTCACGTGGTACTTGAAGCTCAAAGTCTTTAACGCGCAGAATTGAGCCAAGGGATATCTCCAACTGTGTCCAACCCGATATGAGAGATGAAAGACTACCATTGAAAGCTTTGCGAAGGTCAGCTGGGTAATTATATACGATCTTCAAGAAAAGTTAAGGAGTACATACCAAGAATGCTGTTGAGCGATACTCCAAGCAATCCAACACTCGTTGTATGTCTCAAAGACACTACTAAACTGACGACGATGACTGCTTCGGCAGCGACGATGAGGTCTAGGACCAACGTGAGCCAGCGTTGTATACAATGGAGCATATAATACGTGCGCTGGGTAGCATCCAGCAATTTTGAATTAGCAATTCGAAAGTTTGCTTCCCAGCCAAATGCCTGGATTGTAGAAAGACCCTCGACAGTGTCATGAAGATGGGAGTACAACGGATCCCTGATTTCCAGGTCCAGTAAACGAAGTTGTCGCGATGTTTTCAGGTAGAAATGCTGTAAGAGAAAGAGGGAGATGAGCAGGAATGGCACGGATATTGCCATGTACTTTGATCCAGTTGCAATTAGAGCAGCACTGGCAATTGATGAAAAGAGATCTATATCAGCCATAAGATGATTAGCAAGCGATAGAAGATCTTCTCTAGAGAGTATAATGACTTACTTGAGACGGTGATCAAGATGCCAACAGGCAAATCGCTTTCTATCAAGGTCATATCCTGGCTGAATCGGTTTAATATTGACCCGATGTCAACAGTAACTAGAAATTGAGGGGTTGCCCTTGGAGGTGTCAGCAGTTGACTGCGGGAGGAAAGAATTGAATGTACATCATGACAGTCTTCAGCACGACATAATGAAGCCGACGCGCTGTTGAGGGCGAGATCAGAATAAGGATAGCCCTATACTTTGGTTAGTGAGCCCTTTATGTATCAGACAGAGCGCTTTACCAGACATAACCACCATTCCCGACAGTATTGCAAATGGCAAGGAAGAAATAGATGGAGACATATAGTGCCTTTTGGCCTCCACCACGATCAGCCCATCGCTTAAGCCAAATTTCTAGTAGAAAGCTGTTAGTGATACATAGTATCAGGGAGTAGTAGTGAAGAGTCCACGTACGACTATACGTGCTAGAGAAGACATTAATTGTCACGAAAAAGACAAATATCACAGCGTTCGTCCACCCAACGTAGCGCAGATAATACGCATAAACAGCAGAGTCTCCGGTTGCCCTCCTGAGATCGTCAATCTTATTCGCCTTTGAGATCAAGGCGGCTTTATCTTCTATCGCCAACGGGAATTCTTTCGACTCTTCCACAGGATCAGACCTTATTTCTTGAACATTCCCCACGGGCTCTTCCTGAAGATGCCCATCTGAAAGGAAATAAGCTCGATCTGGACAAGGCAGCTGCTCCACTACTAGGTTGTTAGCTCGTATTTGACAAAAAACAAAGGGGGTCATACTCTCATGTGTCACCAAAACAATGGTCAATTTTGTTTTTCGGAGTAGTCCGTCAACACCCAAAAGACGGGATATGATATTACCCTTGGTTTTCCGATCCAGTGCACTGAATATGTCATCTAACAGCAAAAGCTTATTGCGAGCATATACCGCTCGAGCAAGGGCGATCCGATGCATTTGACCACCGCTCAGTATATGGCCAGATCCATGTCCAATTCGTGTAGAGTCTCCTTCGCGAAGGAGAGCCAGGTCCGAATTGAGGTCACATGCGTGAAGAACAACCTCGTACCACTTTTCATCAATTGCATCCTTTATTGGATCCGAGAACCCACAGATTATATCACGGATGGTGCCACTTGGGACCCACGGTGTTTGAGCGCAAAAAGCCGGTCGAATGGTCATTGTCATTGATCCTGTCTCGCAAACTGTTTGGCAAAGTATAGCCCGAAGCAGCGTCGATTTTCCTGACCCAACTGCCCCTTGTATTATGACCAGTGCCCCAAGAGGGACTTCTAAATTAACATCTCTTAAGACAATTTTTGCTGATGAGGATGGGCGAATGCTGAGATTTTTTATTGAGATGACAGGTGTTTGAAGGTCGGTATCTGGGCCCTTGAAAGACATGTATTGCATTTCGGCGTGCGGAGATGCATCAAGTTCCGTTTCTCTGCTATAAAGTCCCTCCGTTGTGTGTTGAGGACTGGCTTCCAGTAAAAGAAATGCTTGTATTCTGTCAAAGGATCCTGACGAAGCCGCTATGGAAGGAATCGCACTCAATAGCTTCGAAGCCGGGTTAGTCAAGAGAGTTATAATGGACAGACTACTGAAAACCATGGTAGCATTCAGCTCGTTTCCTTGAGCAGCATAGACGACGAAGGTCAAAGCTGGAGCTAAGGCCCAAGGCAGATTCTGGATCATATTCTTCCAGACCAGATTCCATCGGTACGTGGCCATTTGATGGGTTTCTTCGGTCCTTTTTCTCTGTACAAGCCGAACAAAGGTCTGAGATAAGCCAGTCGCTTTGATAGTTTGGATACCATCCAGCAGTGAGCGGGTGATTGATATGCGTTGCTGGACGGCATCCACCCATACTTTCTGATAACCCCCTATATGCTTCGAGATATAGATACTTCCGCCACTAGAGACTATTATAAAACGTTCAGTAAATCGTTTTTATATGTGAATCAAAATAATTCTTACTGAGAACGATTATTAATGGCATCAGGCAAACCCACCCTAACCGGAGCGCGAGTAGCGCAATGCCAATGCCCACTTCAATCGTCCGCGCCCAGAATTCATTCAAAGTGATTAGACTGGAAATTATCCGGTCAACGTCGGTAGTCATTAGAGTCACCGTAGCAGAACGATCCCCTAGAGTGCCATCGGGGATGTGTAAGGCATGGTCGTAGATCATTGATGAGGCTGCACCTCGAAACATTGTCACCAACCGGTACAACATCTGGTCGTATATGAGGTTTGAGAGGGCCATTCCCAAATATATTAGAACTGTAGCGCCGATGAGGCCATAACCGAGATTGCTCGCGCTATGTGAGTTATCAAGCCAGTTGAGAACAGACGCGATCAAGAAGGGTTGTGAGAAGGTAAAGCCGATCAAGAATATGCGTGGAAGTACCATAAAAGCAAGTGGACCTTTGAACGCTCGGCCCATCTGCCATGTGAATTCGAAACGGCGCTCGGGATGCCGGCGTTGAGCCCAAGCTCTCAATGCCTTTTGCGTCGTTTCTGCGGACTCCAAGGGTTTGTCTAGTCGATCAAGATCTTCGGTAGTAAGCAAGGATCGAAAGCCCGTGGAAAAAAGGCGGTTCAGCCACCACATGAATGATCGATTAACAATTCCACTAGTCGACTCGGGCGGAAGGTCTTGATAAGAACCTATGAGATGCTTTTGCTTCCCCAAGCTCTCGAAAAGTACCATTGCTGTTTTTGCAGCGACACTTGTAGTGAACAAAATAGAAATAAGGAGATCCCGGTGAGACAACCATAAACTTCTTGCCTGTACAACATCGAAGAGCAGCGTGAAGAGAAGGTAGATGGCGAGGAGCGATGACGGTCTAACCGATCGTTCATCTTCCACCCACGACAAGACCACAATTTGCATTGCCACTACCAAATTAATTGCACTTGACGCGACAGAGAACTTCGTTGGCCGGGGTTTTTTTGCCCAGCTGATCAGCAGGGCGAGTTGAATGGCGGCAAAAACGAGGGCAGTTATCTGTAAAATTGACATTACCTTGTGTTTCTGTGAGTACCTAGGTGGTCATGTGAAAGTGCTTACCAACTTTGCCAATCTCATTTTGTGAGGCTGAGTGCGAACATCTCTATTGACCAGAACTCGCAAGCGAAGGGGACACGCGAGGATGAATGCGACTGCAGGAACGAGGCCAAGTATGGCTTGTTCGAACAATAGCGTAAAATCAAAGCCATCACGGCAAGCGCTATCTACTACAGGACCGAAACTGTTATCAGCCTGAAGTGAGCACTCTGGCATGGTTTCGTGTCTTTTTTCCGCTGCTATTTATTCGGATGAAGATAAGGGTAGAAGTACTTATTCTCAAGAGGTCAAATACCACTAGCACCAATTCGAAACTGATTTGTAAGTTAATTAAACACCCTGGTATCTGGTAACCCCCGTGCTTGGGACTAACAAACCCCTGTCTATCGCGTCATCGCTGTCTCACCATCTATGATCTTACATACATAATGTAGGTAAATGGATAGGCTCATTGGTTCCTTCCCTACTTGCACTTTGTGCTATCAAAGCCAGTATCTACTCATATATCCACTAGAGTCACTCACCCTTCATCCAACCTTGTCCCAGCCTTGAACCACTTTGATATCCGTCTAGGTATTCCGCATTCTGTCATGCCCAGATTTTTACGACCAACCGCAACGATTGAATCCTGCATGGAGCTCCGTTGTGTGGCATCCACTCTCCCAGTGGTCGCACGGTACTGAAATCTTCGGGTCGTAGCCGTGGAGGAAAACATTATCGCAGTGAAGCGTGTGTTCGGGCTTGAGGATATCATTGTCCATAGGCATTCCGTGACGGAAGGAGTCGTGGAACTTCCTCCAGGAATAGGTACAGTGAAATTGATGCCACATCCGCGGGCCATAAAGAATGGTATAATCCCCCCGCTCCCATTCCTCGCGTGGCACTTCCTCTGCCGGAAGTGTTTCATTGCTGAGGTAGAAATGCCAATCCATTCTTCCTAGGAAGTCCTTTACCAAATCGGCGTGGTAGCATTCTGGCCGCTGCCATGCCCAGGACATTGGATCGAAGATGCAGCCAAGCTCCCGGGCCTCTATAATGGATTTCCCACAGTGGCCAAATTCATCCCCAGTCGATTGATTCGAGGCTTGATGCAGATGATTTGTTGCCAATGCCGTTCGGACAGCTGTAACGTCGTCACCCGTCTTGGTAGTACCGCTTGCCACGGACGAGACCATAGCAATGTTGATGCCTCCCATGATAAGTATGAGAATTGACAAGAGAAGCAAGCCACCACTGAGGAGGAGAAAGCGATTTCGAGCCTGGGTGGCAACTCGCTTTTCACCTTGCTCTGCAGACTTCTCATCGTCGTTTAGGAGGGGATCATATTGGTCTGGGCCGTCCATCTTTGGTGGCTCTAAGGTCTTCACCGCGGAGAACTTGTACGGTGGAAGTTGGTTGCTCATTCTATGGGATTTCTCATAACAAAGTTGACTTGGGAGGATTGGATGCGATTTGGTATGAGAAACAGCTATAGAAGAGGAGAAACAAGGCCAAGAATTGGACTAGGGCAGGATGAGGCCAGACACGATATTGTGTAATTTTGAATTCTCGGTAAAGAGAAAATCTCGAGATGCCTAAGTCGATACATAATCAGTTGATGTATAGTCATAGTCCATTCCAGGATAATAGTCCGCTTGGTCCCCTAAATCAGATGCAACGTCTTCGACCCAAAAATAGTGTGCTGGATTTCACCCTATTAGACTAAGGAAAGGCAATTATGACGTGGCAATTGTATTCTTATCTCTCAAAATTGCGTTTCAAGCTCAAAAGGCTCTAACAGATTCCGGTTTGGAGTAGTAGTACTCCGTATTCTGCTGATCCGTACTTTTTGCATACCCCACAATTGATTCGACTATTACAATATTGGGGCGGAGGTACTTACGGACCCCGACGGGCCCCCGATAGGTCTCGATTGAATATATCTAGTATTCCGTACAGAATGTACAAGAACAGTGCTTTATCCTAACACGGAACGCCAAGGATCACTTTGTGCGGCTAATGATGCTTGTTACTCTTGGCTCTTGGCAAGTTGGCATGCTTGAAGCACGAGCACGACATACACGCATCAATGAGAAGATGCATTTCTTATCGAAGGGTTAGCACTGGAATAGATTGATTTTTTCGAGTCTATCGAGTCTACAACACGTAATACTGTTAGTGCTTACGATGTTCAATGTCCACGAAGGCACGAGCATATGCAGTTTAATATTAGAAACCAACCTGTTGTCACCCAAACCAGCTACTTCTGACGCCACCAGGCCAATTGATTAGACTCGAATTATAACATTTTCCCCAGATGCTGATACAGATCCTACGCTGGTAATAGTGGCTTATCTCAGATGCGGGATCTTTACTGCTGCTTTAGTTTTATTTTGATCCGGACTAATCAATAATAAACGGGCAAGATGTTTACTGAAGATCATTCTCTAACGCAAGCTGTAAAACTAGACCAAAAATATACTAGAGAAGCATATACACAGTGATATAGGAAAATAGGATGTATGAATTCGTCTATAGTCAATGCAGACCCGCGTTGACTAAGAACCTTGGGGAGATGCTTCACGTCGCGTTTCTGGAGATTTCTACCAAGTCACTTCGACTACCCAACATCAAGCTGCAATATCATGGTTGTGGGCTTCACGATAACCATAAACTTCCATATAGTCCATTATTGCGTCCTGTACATTATGTCAATAATGCTTAGCTCGAACAACTTGTAGGTTTGAAAGGAAGCTCTTACCTTGCTCGCACAAACATGAGGAATACCTGTTCCATCCGTCTGGAATCGGCTTCCATCTTTCTCTGTTCTTGGCCATTCAAGAGTCATGTCACCAGAGCATTCAAACGCTTGCCTCAGGTAATCAAAACAATGACCTGTATGCTCGTAGGCAAGTTGTCGCTCTGCTTCCTCTTTGACGGAATGATCATCTGTCTGAATCCCCATTGCCAACTTATAATAATCTCGACGAATAACACCGAGGCAATGAATCTGATGGAACATTGAGACGCCATATATCTCTCCAGTCTCCTTTTGAACTCCTGGTTCCAGATCGTATTTCGCGCCGTTTTCGACGTAGATGTATCCCCGTCCGTCCTACTTTATCAGCGAATTGCTAATGAGCACGGAATCTGAGTACATACGGGCAAGAGCTGATTCCATGCTATATCGTTTTCTGGGTTTGGCGGGTCGATAAAAGTTTGATTCCGTTCGAAATATCGAATTTCTTTGGGGACTGTAGACTGGTCAGTTCGTTATTCTCTCAAATCAATCTTCAAGACAAACAAGATGGGACTGGTGTCCTTAGAAGGGAGTTCTGCTCCGAAGAGCACATATTCCACCCCAGGAATGTGAAAAATAGCATCGCCAGAGCAATACCCGTACTGATAATGGCAACAACAAATACGATTTTGAACCGAGCATGGCCACCGAATCGCAAATTGTTTGCTTTTGTAAAGGTTTCTCTCGAGGGCTTAGAAGATTCTAAGACTTCATCGTCGGAGCTCAAGATAGAGTATTCTTGTTCAGTCTTGAATTTACCTCCAATGAGGTACCTTATGCTTAGACCCATATTGTATGTTTACTGGTGTGACTGAAGGAGTAGAGATAAGAAGAGTCGTTGGGTTATGGGAAGTCGGTTAATTGAGGTAATTGATTAAGAGGGAGAGACAACTATCTCATCAGCTATAGAACTACTGCATCGGCCGTTAAATTTCGGGCAATTTTCAATGCAGCATTGTCCCAAGTAAGCAGTAGCCGGCTTACCCAAAGCCTCTTGTGTATCTTCTATAACCAAATTTACTACTAAAATAGCTGCATAATTACTAGTGGAAAGCCTCGAAGATAGAAGTAGGGGGCCGGTTTCACTGTAACCTTAGAATTCTTGCCAACATCATGCACCTCGGGGTTTGCTATGCCTATCTATAAGACGCGATTTATCTCGATATATCGCGACATAAGCGGGGGAAAGGAATCTCACGTCCAGTGACTCCCAGTCGCCCCTTCACTTTCCGAGAAGTCAGCCGTTCTAAAATTCCTATCTTTATTCGCATTCTTAAGTATGCTTCATTTTAGAATCACACCATGACACAATTACAAAGTGAATCGATAGAGGAAAGCCCTTTCCTCCCAAGATCAAATTCGCTATCTGTAGATGAAGAAAGCGAATTTGCTGAGCATATTCGTTCTCCCAAAAAAAGCCCCTACGAGCAATGTTTGCCATGGCTCATCCAACTTTTTGTCTTTACCGTTTACACAACAATTTTCTTTCTTTTCTGGGACCATTCACAATCTCGTTGTTCAAAGGATGGCCCCGAATTCGCCCGTGCTTACAGTAAGTCTGACATTTGTTCACCTAATTGCTGCTAACATCGAAACCCTAGGCCCAGCATCAAAGGCACTCAAGTGGGAATTGAGAACCTTCCAAAATCAGCTTGAAATAACGAATCCGTTCAAAGGACCACCCAGACCCGAATTAGAGGAGGCATGGAATAAGCTTCTTCATCCGTCTGCTGCCATTCTCGTAGATAAGGAATCACTTGACAGAATCAATCGGACTTCTGTTGAGCTTCAAGATGGATCGGGGTATATGGCTGCCTTGGACGTGTATCATCAGCTACATTGCTTGGTATGTATTCAATATAGCATGGGTTAAACTGGCTGTCGCTAATAAAGATATCCCACAGAGATGGGTGCGTAGATACATTCACCAAGACCACTACAATTCCACGGAGGAAAATCTGGGCCAGCACATTGGTAAGTCCTGTCCCCGTTGATTTTATACAAGCTAATTTCTCCAAAGACCACTGCTTGGATGGCTTACGGCAATATGTGATGTGCAACGCGGATTTGTCTATCAACACCTTTGACTGGATCCCAAATTATCCCAAGCCGTGGCCAAATTTTGAGGTCGTACATAAATGTGCGAATTGGGAGTCTATCGAGGAATGGGTTTTGGCGAACAGTTTTAATGGATTTGATCCTAATTTGATCCGTCATCCAGATTATCACCCTGAACTGCGTAAGAACTATATAATATACGAAACGAGATCGAAGTGATACTAATCTTTTCAACAGCAAGCCCATTCAATTACACTGTCAGTGGTAATTCACCCTGATAGACATTTTGTGGTGAGCGTTTGAGCCTAAGATTTTGTTTTTTTGAGGATAGCAAGTTGATTTTCTACTTGCAAAAGAATTACACACATCACAATAGCTACGGTAGTCTTGTATTCCATCAATTCTTCTAGAATCGTAGCCTTTTTCCCTTTTCCTGTTTCTTTCTTGTGGACATCAGCAACCTTCCCCGGCTCTCCTGTGATATGAACCTACCGCGAGGGAACACACTTCCAATCTTACACCCTAGGAGCTTCTAATGAAAATGATACGGGATTTTACTAGGCCACCCATATAGCTCTCTGCGTTCTATTTCTTAGTAGCAAACGGATGCCATTTCAAGCCTCTATCGTCGAGTATACTTCAAGGAAATAGTTATCTCTCATAGGTGCCCCCAAAGAGGCGTTTGACACCGTAAGACAGAGGTAGAGCCACTCTGAGATTCCACAATCATCTGACACGTTGCAAGCAGCGACACGTTGCAAGCGGCACATTTATTTCCCGCACCTGCAATGCTAGTAAGAAAAAAGTTGATGATTGATTTGAAATCAAGAGAGGTGAAAAGATATTCGCCGGAGCCCGACGGTCATTGAGCTTTTCCTGGCCCCCGGGGTAGTATTCTCACTGCATCAGATTGTACTTTGGTAGATTCTGTATGTCTCCGGTCTTTGATAACATGATTCAATTCGGTAAAAGCATCTCCAAGAGGCATAGGGAGAAACATGCATAGCATACGTATGGTATACCTAGCCTGCGTATTCAAAGACGAGATCAATCGAATACGACAGTACGCGGCACAAATCATCAAAAGTGGCGTAGAGAGAGAGAGCGGGATGGAAGCGGGGTGAGCAGTAAGTCTAGATAGGGACGCTGAACGGTGATGTCAGTAATGGGGCATATTCACTAAGGATTAGTCGGCTGTATACAGCCTTGATCATCTATAAAAGCCAACTCAATTTCCATTCCAAGGCCAATGCCAACCTTTCACGACTATTCCAGCCCCTTCCCAATTGACCTACGCACTCAAATCTGAATACAAAGTCTTACAACTTCTGACAAGATGCAATTTGCCTACCTTCTGTTGGCTTTGCCATACTTGTGCCTTGCCGCACCAATTAGCAGTACTGTTATCTACATCATGAGCTAAAGATCTAGACGCTAAATTTTATCCTAGATTATGCTTCCATTGATGCCCGTGACGTTGATTGCTCGCTGGATGTTGCTGGGTGTGGAGGACACCAGGCTTACAAGCGAGAGGAGCTTGATGCCCGCGACGTTGATTGCTCACTGGATGTCGCTGGGTGTGGAGGACACCAGGCTTACAAGCGCGAGGAGCTTGATGCCCGCGATGTGGATTGCTCGCTGGATGTTGCTGGGTGTGGAGGACACCAAGCTTACAAGAGAGAGGAACTTGATGCCCGCGACGTTGATTGCTCACTGGATGTCGCTGGGTGTGGAGGACACCAGGCTTATTGAGTGGAAAAGGTTGAGATGTTAATCCTGCATATTTGCAATGATATCAAGCATTAGATTTCCTTGAATCCTAATGATTGTGATAGCCCCAGAGAGCCCATGATTTGGATATTCACTTTTGATGTCATGAATCCACTCCTTTTGCTATTTTGTCATGTTGACTGCGCTTGTAATCCAGAAGGGCTCAATATCAATCTTGCCGTCTGGAAGTCCCTCGGCTCTTCATTTATTGCATAATTGAATAGTTATATCTCATCCAAATAATATTATAGAACTCCAAACTTGTTGTCATGAACTACCGGGCCTTGATTGGCCCTCCGAGGAAGGTCTTGGTGAACCGTAGTGCATGTGATCTCGATTCTAGTTTCTTCCAAGGCCATAAAATATGGTATAAAATAGGCTTGGCACGGGGCTTTGCCTAGGACCTGGGTGATCAAGCAGCGATGAGTGTAAGATAAAGAGTTAGAAGAATGAAAAATGATCTTTAAGTCGGGAGCTGAAGGGAGAGGCCCAAGGAAGGAAGGTTAACCAAGTACAGTAATTTACAGATCGTTTACAGATTACAAGATCATTTGGACATAATCAATAGTGAACATCTCTGAAATTAGAAAAGCTATGCTTAAACTAGAACATGAGTCACTAAAAGATTTGCAAGATTAACGGGAGCCAGTTGCATCCCATAAAACAAAAAGGCAACCCATTAAAACCACGGGTTCCTCAAATTCAGAAATTCGAAACCATCACGGACACAATCATCGCATCAGGTACCATACTTGCTAAGTCAGAATATGGCTAGACTTGCCTAACGCGGTAGAAGTGTAGCATCCTCACTGAATCAAATGAATCAAGTGAGAGAGCATAATCAAAATGCTCATGGTAAAGAGATGGCAGTTGGCGCCAGGGGCCTCGGCACCGTTGAAAACAGGAGAAGGGGCGTGAGTGCCACTGGAAAAAGTACCCTGAGGAACCGGCGGGGCAGTATCCTTCTGAGTGTGGGTAGGCTGCTGTGGAGGCACCGAAACCTGGGACTCGGTTGTGGTACTCTGCTGAGTAGCAGGAGCAGGAACCTTGACCAGAGTAGTAGCCTCGACAGTGCTAGCGTGGGGAAGCGGGACCAACTCAGTCGGATTAACCTCGGTAGTAACCTCATGGGTGGGAGCCTGCGGAACTGGAGCAGGAACAGTTGGCTGGATCACTGTAGTAACAACCTGGGTTGTCTCCTGTGGAACGCCACCAGGGGCAGTTGGCTGGACAACAGTGGTCACCACTTCAGTAGTGGTCAGTGGAACAGGAGCAGGAACAGTTGGCTGGATCACTGTAGTCACAACCTGAGTGGTCTCCTGTGGAACGCCACCAGGGACAGTGGGCTGGATAACAGTGGTAACCATTTCAGTGGTGGTCAGCGGAACAGTAACTGTAGCCGGAATTGGAGTCACAGAGACGGTGGTAGTCTCCGTAGGGGTGGTGGTATACACCGTGGTACTGATGCATTTGGTGGTCTCAGTGCAAGGGATGTCGACCGTGACAGTGACCAGCTCAGTGGAACCGGGAACAGGAGTGGGAACAGTCGGCTGAGACTCAGTGGTCATAGTGGCCTCTGGAGCGGTAGCCGGAACAGTTGTCTCCGAGAGTGGCAAGGTACTGGTAGTAACCTGGGTGCTGACACACCGGGTTGTCTCAGTGCAAGAAATCTCAACGGTGATAGTGACTTCAGTGGTTACTGGAGCAGGAGCCAGCTCAGTTGAGCTGGGGCGAGAAGATGCAGTGTATCCAGTACTCAAATGATTCGCAGGGGTAGGAGTCTGGGAGACAGTCGAGTTTGTGTAAGCAATGCCAGTGCTACCAGGGACAGGAACCACGTTGGTAGGACGAGAAGAGACTTCGGAGGATTCAGGGCAAGGCGAAGAGATCGTCTCGGTGGTCACCTCGGTGACAGTGCCAGGAATCGTAGAAGTGGTGTGGTCCTCAGAAGTGGTGACAGGAACAGGAGCCACACTGGTAGCATTGGGACGAGATGAAGACACCGACTCAGTGGCAGTGGCAGTAACCGTGGAGGATCCAGTGTTGGTTACAGAGCCGCTTCCAGTGGAAACCTGAGTAGCACTAGGCGCTGGGGTCTCGGCAGTTCCGGGAACAGAAGACTGCGAGGTCACCAAAGTGGTGCCGGGCGCAGGAGTATTGGTTGTACCGGGTGCAGAAGACTTGGTGGTCACATCAGTAGTTGCAGGAACAGAACTGTGAGGACCGGCAGGCACAGATGACACGGTGGTCACCTGAGGAGTACTGGACACAGAAGTCTGCGAGGAGGCCGGAGCAGATGGCTGGGTAGACACCTGAGGGGCGCTGGGAACAGAAGTCTGAGTGGCAACAGGGACCGGAGTCAAGGAGGTAGTAGGAGCAGGAGAAGTGACCTGAACCGGGACAGGAGTAGTAGACTCAGGACCAGTGGTGCAATGAACATCGGTAGTGAGAGTCGTGGTCGCTTCATCAGGACCGCAGGTGGTGTGGGTAACCGTGACAGTGACTAGCATCAAATTAGTTTTTGATCTGGAAGAATTGAGGGAATTGAGAAATCCCCGTATGAGGATGAGGAGCTTGGACTTACTCAGATCAGCAGCGTGGACAGCACGACCGAACAAGGCACGAGGCAGAACATTGACTGTGAAGCTGGTCAGTAACGGCAGGCTTGGGGGTAGACCTAGATAGTGAGGTTGACTTACTTTCACCAAACTGGTACTGCTCACCAGTGCGGGGGTCCTGAAGAAAGACCGACTCGACATTTTGGCACTCTGTCCAGCAAGGTCAGTAAACAATCATAATGTGGCCTGGTATGGGCCATGGTATGAGCCATGGTATGTACCGGCCGCGGCGGAAGCCATGGTCACCAGAGTGGTGACCATGACCAGGAGCAACTTGAAACGCGTCCAAGCTACCATCTTGGCGAAGATGGGTTTGTAAACGAATGTAAGTAGTGATGACTTGATGAGATAACCAAGTAATCGATGGAAAACGAAGGGTAAAGTGGGTAAAGGGAAACGAGTGTGAAGTGGGAGAAGAGAAAAGGAAGAGAAAAGGAAAGGAAAGAAAATGGAGGATGAAATAGTAAACAGAGTCACAACCCTGTTGAGGAAGGAGCGCTGCCTATGGCAACACGTGCTCGTCTCTGGTTGTGCCTTCCATTTTTGAGGCAAACGTACAAGGAAGTCACGACTGAGGTTTACAACTATGGTGGGGTACTTCCAAGATTGGATAGTACTTGGGATATAATTTCATTGTGTGTGACTGCAATAGAACCTTAAACTGGGTGCATCGGCAACTGTAGGGGTGCAACCTGAGTGAGACAGTCTAAATCTAGTTTGTCGACTGAGATGAATGTTCAAAAAGGGCCCTTTGCTTAACATCGGGGGGTTTTCGTTCGGTAGAATCATGCCGCAGGCTGCAGTGAAGGACCCCATGCCGTGGCTATGGCATAGAGGGCAGCTTAAAAACCAGCCACTACAGGGAGAACAGAACTATTTCTATAAAGAGGCTGGGGTATCACAGACAATGGTCTATGTGCCACATTAATAAGACTATAAAGACAAACAGGCATTGCTCTGTCTTCTATTATGGTCAGGCCATAGAGAGCCTGAAGTAAGTTCGAATATAAGACAAAGGAGCAAAACACTGCAGGGATATTAACTTTTATTATCTTTGAACATTATCATTTGCATGACAGCCTAAATTTAGGTCAGACACTGCGAGGTCAAGTGCAGAAGTTGGATACTACTTGAGCCTCGAAGTTTTTGATGTCAGCAAGTTTAGAATGGTGTTCTATTTTGAGCTAAACATCAGCACTATATCAATGAGGATGATGATCTATATTATACTGTCAGTCAGGGGCAATGGTGACACGACTTAGGGCAAGATGTCAGGCGAAATTAGAACCGCATAATCACGACATAATTTATAAGCAACCATGGATAGGTACCATTTCAACCTTATAAGCACAATGTTAAGTGGACTTCAGATTATATTTAATTAATCTAATGCAGTACAAATCCTAGGAGTCTTCAATATCTATATATGATGTACTATAAAAATAAAGTACGTTCCTATATAAGCAGTGCCCAGCCAAATCTAAAACCCCACTATAAAGAGGGATAAACGCCGATCAGAGCCCTAGTCGGCAAATATTTTCCTCCGAAAAAATAAAGAACAGCCAAATCAAACGCACCAGTCAGAGCAAACAATACGTTAGATGCCCAGGTGGATGCCACCTCGGCTACTAACCGAAAATTACTAGCGTACTTTTGTACATACGTTGGTGTATTTCCAAATTCGCAGTTTGTCTCCATAACTAGACTCCCATTATACCCGAAGGATCAGCTAGCAGAATTAACTTATTTTGGTCCCGCTTCAAAGGAACGGGCATATTCTGACGTCATAATTGTTTGTCTCGGAGTATTGAAATCCTTTCTAGTTCTGAATGTTAAATTGTGAGATACGTAACTATAAATATTTTATACATTGGAAATATATAGATTTTCAAAGGTCAGTTTTTATAGCTAAATAAATCGATAGAGGAATTGGTTAGATCATCAGTAAACAGTGGTGAACAGTCAGTGAAGAGATCATTAATAAATCAGTGAAACAAACATCGCCAATCGATTGAAACCACTGCATTGAACAAGAACTATTGTGCAATGTATACAACATAGTACAAGCGGACATATTTTGGCCATCTCCCTTTCTTAAGGGGTTTGATCTAAACAAATGCCGGTTATCTAGCAATACTTACATATTACGACGTACGACATATTGAAATTCACGATCTCGCCGTAAACTCGGGATCGTAAACAGAAAAGATGTCATATCCAAAAGCCTAAAGTATGACCCCATTTCTGTATATTGTGACTCCAATTCTGCAAGGGTTCACTGAGAACTTGGGTCGGATATTACCACTCAAAATGAACATGACCTGCTGACCGAGAAAAAAAAAAGGAAGATCAAATACGAAAAAAAAATGAAAATCTTTATCAACTGATATTCCAGACCTGGCCATCGGGATACGAATGTGGAGTACTCCATACGCCTCGGGATCTGGAAGATCCCAACTGGAAATAGAATTAGACACACCTGCCGTATACCCGATACGAAGCATCAGACATATCCACGGATATCAGAGAGGCAAAAAAGTGAAAAAAAAACTCAAGTCATATAACCATACGATCCAAAAATTTGATATATGCTCGATTTGGAAATTAGGTCGATCTGAAAATACCCGATATGGAAAAACACACCGAAGCCACGAACCAAGGGACAATCCCCGATGGTTCTCGAGCCGAGTCACCTACTAACGGTCTTGGGAGGATTGGCTCATCCAATCAAAGATGTTATAAAAACCCGAAGATGCGGTCCATGGGATTTTGATTGCTCAGACAATGACCTCAGTTCTCATTAGCCGCGCTCTCTACCAGGGTCCTGACTTTAAATTTAGTGATATTCCAGACTCAGGGTGTTTTTGTGGACTCTTTGTGGCTTGCGAGCGCCACAATGCGTCCCTTGGTTGATATACAACATATGTGGACACTGTTCTCGGGAGGCGTTTATTCCCTTTTATGACAGCTCGCACTACTAACCTACATTTGGGAGTTTGGACATCAATCATCCTCGGTTAACGTGACGTCTTTTGATGCCAAGAAGTTATGATGATGGGACCGAATTTTTTAAGGTGCCAAGGGTTGGATGGCTGTTGATGGCTTTATTAGTGCAGTTGATAGGGCTTAAGAATCTAGTATTAGAGGGACCTTGTGCTCAAGATAGTACTAAGTACGACTTCTACATGGAAGAGTTGACGTAGCAAGGTCATCGTATTCTGCGCCTGTCAAAGTGATTGACTTGTAGTCCCGTCAGGCAACTATCTATATCAAGCGATCCAAAGCCCGTGTCTATGCCCATAGACATAGACATGGACGAGATCGTAGAAAAAGTCGAACGCTCAAGCTGGCAAAGACCAGCTCGCAAAAAAAAAAGAAAAAAGAAAAAGAAAAAAAAAAGGTTAATGTAAATGAAGGAGCTGGAAAAATGAAAAATGGAACAGAGGTATCAACGACGTATGCCTGGCCCTCGATTAAATCGAAGATAATAACCATAATGATGATACCAATATTTCCATGGACCACCGACTCATATACCGTCGTAGTGTGGAAGCAACGCTAAGTTAAAACGAAAAGATATCAAAAAACATAATATAACAGGGTATGTTGCTCGGAGATTCGTTTATTATCCCAGTTTTCAACGCCCTGTAAAAAAAAGTGAATTCCGGCCCATTGAGCAAGGATGTATGAGAACATAAAATGGAAAGACGAGTGTAGCTAATGCACTCGAGATGGAAAGAAAGTTCGTGTGCGTGTTGCAGACCAAGGTGGAGAGATCACAGTGGCTAGCGAGAGATGAGGTGAAAGAGAAATTTAACTTTTAGGTTAAGTTTGAATTTGAGAGGCGAGGGCATGTCCTTGAGATGTAATGCGATGCAGGTTTAATAAATTAGTTTGATCTCAATGGCAGACCCTGGTGTGCCAGGAGCACTGCCATTAAGACCTGGTGCTTCGGAAATGTCGATGATCATGTCTTGACCCTCTGGAAGATGGCGGACTACGTCGTCATCAACGAGGACTCGCATGCCTTTCTCATTGGCATGGGTGATATTTGAGACTCGCATCGGGTCGATGTGATATTTCTCGGTAATTTGCTTCGCGAGGTCTCGAGTGGTACGTTCCGTCAAATAGATTGCACGGTAGTAGTCATCTGAGCGCTTCGAATCGCCAGCCAATCGAACATAAAAGCATGCAACTAGGAAGAGAGTTAGCAAGGATATTAACAATAGGGTTGCGCTCGAAGAACCTACTCGGCTTGGGAAGGCGTTCCGGCGGAGGTCGGTAGGTCAAATCCACACCAACGGCCTCTATGAAACCCCTTGAGACTTGGTCGCCAGAAGGAATTCTCTGGATGGTGGTTGGACACTTTGCTAGTCTGATTGATTGGGTAGGCGGCGAATTCGAAGAAGAGGTATTGGTGTTAGGCGGCGAGGGCATCATTGTCTCCAATTCGCGTGTGCTTGAACGGCTCATACTCGCGTACCGAGGGGAATCGCCGTCACTTAATAGCTGAATAGGATATAGATCGGGGTCGTCGAATTTTTCACCGCGTAAGCCGAAAATGCTCACTGTGCGTGTAGATGAGAACATCTCTTGCATCATAGCCAACTTAGCTTGAAGATCGTCCTCCAAAGAGACTTTCTCTGGCGGAACTTCCTCCGACTCCACCGACCAAGTTCGCTTGTGGCCCTTCATAAGATGGTCAGATCCCTTGGCGGTAGCAGAAATATTATTTCCCCGTTTGCGCTTCGCGAAGCCACCACCCATTTCGGCCTGGGCGACTTGCTGCTTAAGCTTATCAATGCTCTTCTTGACATGCGCGACGTCATTGGACAGCTTCCGCTCAGCACCATGATCCCGGAAGAGCTTTACTTTGCAGTAAGACAGTTCCGTATCACGCGCTACACCTGCCTCCTCGCCTGGGGATAGAAGCTCGGTTTTGGCGCACAGTCTGACTGGAATTCCTTTAACACCTTTTGAGTGGCTGAAATCCGTGGAAAGGAAATTAAACCGCACGGGAATGTTGCAATCCGATGCGCCGGTCGCGGGGTTGGCGGTCCAGGTGACGCAGAAACCGTCGACTGTCATACTCTCGACTTGTACCTGTCGATGCCTGTGGGCATCACTGCCTCCTTGTAAAGGGTCCACATATTCAACAGCTAATAATTTTCCGCCTCGTTGATGGGCTTCTGTGGTACCACGGCCTTCCTTCCATAGTTGCCAACATGCTGACGGTTTCGCTCGTTGTTCTTGCTCTTCGAAGGAAATGCGGACAAACGTTCTATATCGAAGTGTTTCATGGTTGATCATTGGGGGGTTCGTGTCGGTAATTGAGAGGTTGTATGCTTGGCCCTTATTAAGATAAGTCACAGGAATTTCACTCGCGTGCTTCACCATGGCGGTCGGTGCTCGTAAAGAAACGTTGAAACGGAATCTAGAAAATGACAGAACGCGGTTAGCATTGAGCAGAGATACACCTTTTTATCAAATAAATCAACTCACTTTTCACCCTTGGCATAGGAAATATCACTAGCCATTTGAGTCGAGAATTCCGTAGAGGCCGTCACATTAGATGCTGTTTCGACATGTGCACTATTCAGGGAAGAGTCATCGAGCGTATCATCCATGGCGTCATATACGGTGTCGCGGTGCATGAATGCGCTTGGTGCATATGACGGCTGCTGTGTGTATAGGCTCATATCGTGCATCGGATTCATGAACTGCGGGTGGAAGGGCTCAAAACCGTTACTGTGGTGGTTGTGTACAGCTGACATGGCTGAGAGCGGCGCAACCAAGTGCATCCCTGTTGGGGTATGTAAATCACCAGCCTGATTATGGAACATTGCACCCATTCCGGCAGAAGTCGGAGTATAAAAGCCTGGGTGATGGTTGACAGGAGGCATCATGGCATATGAAGCGGATTCCATCCATGAGGGTGTCAACCCCAGTTCATGCATATTTCGGGGAGTGCGGTCGTTGTTGGTGATTGGGAACTTGATATCATGACCACCCATTTTCACATCGTTGTTCTCGGTCATTCTATTCAAATGCTTTGTCAGTTCTGATCTCATACCTTTTACCGGTAGAATACATGTACATACGTAGAGGACATCAGATTTTCTGACGTGCTCACATTGTGCGAGCCATCACCAACTGGGCTGTCTCGCCGAGGGACAATATCTGAGAATGCTTGCTGGAAGCGGCTGATGAATTCACCATCAGGCTTCTGAGCGCTCCTGTTGCGCAGAAAGATAACGTTAGAAACGAAAACATTATACCATTGACGATTTGAGCGAAGAACTCACCGATTCTTAAACATTGGGATATATATTTTCGCTTAATCCGGGAAAGTAAAAAGAAAAGAACGGCCACCAGCAAATTGTGGCCCGCTGTCACTAAGTCGGGTGTGCCCTGTCTGGACTTGCGGTTTCAAGATGTGGATTATCGAGATTGGGAGTGTTGAGATGTCGTATTAGGTAGTATTCGATACTTTCAGATCGTGTGAAGCTTTGCGTCAAGTGTATTGAATCTAAGAGGAACTTCCTTCGAAGAAATGTGTAAATGACCAAATCGGGGGTGGAAATGGAAGTGCCAGAAATGGAAGTTTGCTGGAGGTAAATAAAGTCAGGCGATTCAGAATTATTTTTTTTTTCCAAAAATTGTTAACGGAGTATGTTTCCCTGCCGAGGTTCTTATAGGGGATTGGATGTGTATAATTGGAGAGACGAGGGGTGAAGGAGGGGAGATGACGATCGTATAGGGAGGGGAGAATGGAAAGAACAATTAAGGATGGTACGGTCACTGAAACCATCCAATGAACGATCTATGAAAGATCCCACCAAAACCGTCATCCACTGAGCCACAGTGGACTTTTACAAAAAGGGGGGCATTGGATGTGCTCGGAAGATTTTAAGACGTAGTGACCCTCGGGAGGAGAAAGCTATCGCCACCTACAAACTGATAAGGACAGGGGGGCCATTTTCGGTAAGAGGCGTTTTTTATTTTTTTTATTCTTTTTTTTTATTCTTTCTTCTAGGCTGTCCTCAAATGGTTAAATCGCTTAACTTTTATAATATATTTTACCACTAATAAAGGGATTGGCTAATAAAAGGAATAAATTATGGAGAATGGCCTGGAAGGGCAGATACCGAGCCACGGACAGCCCTGCAGGTTGAGTGGAGAAGAACCAAAGAGCGGAGTGTAATTTTACGTATGGTATGTTTCGTGATGGCTTCAATGATGTTATCCCACGTCGACAAAGTGTTTCATAGTTGTATAATTTGCACAATTCGCCATAGGTATAACAATATGTCACCCTTCTATTCAAAGTCAATCTGGAAGCTTGGCGCTGTATTTACTCGACACTATATTGTATATGATCTATATGCCCAGTCCTAGCGTACAATAATATCTGTAGTTATTGCCATGTGTATAGGGCATTCGTGGCTCCAGCAGGTAGTCTAGATTATTGTGAAATAACTTAGATATTACTATGTCCGACCAGACTTACTCCATAGCGAGAGAAACATTTCCCATTAGGTAATGTAACTTATTTCACCTTGTACCCACCTGGACAGGTGAAATGGCCAGCGTTGTTGGGCATATCACTAAAACACACTAATTACCTAGATGCTATGCTATTTAGGGCTATATTATACAAAGTACATGCAACGTCTTAGCCTTGGCCCACTAGTATAACCATCATTCATTCTTCGAGACTTCGAATGCATCAATATCAAGCCACATATATTTAAACTCTGACCTCATACTCCGATGTACATTGCACAACATCCAGAATATTTCAGCCATGAAGGAGTGTGGAACTGTTAATCTCTGGTTGTTAGGCATGATAGGTGGGCGGGCCGACCGGATCTGCATACAAAGCTACTCATAAGTTTTTCCATTAGAATCCATTGGCTGGGCCCGGAGATCTACCAGTTGATTCAGTTGAGTGCCCTTCGAATTTATGTCATGTCGATGACCTCATTTTCGGTCTCTCCCGGCTGGAAACCCATGAACGAAGGTGGATTGACGATCTAAGTGGTTCCTCTTATCATGTACCATGGTCTATTGCTTGTACATATATATACCTATAAAACACTAATTTGTTTTGCTAATATGGTTCTCAATAGCCATAGCTGTGATTTACTGTTGTATAGGTGGTATGGAATGTAAGCTATGATGTGCCACCATACATAAAATACAGCCACATACCATGTCAAAACGGTGCCGACCAACAGAGCTCATTGCTGGAAAGGTCCACCCACCAATAGGATTGCTCAATCTACCCTAGCATGATCGGCGAAGCACGTGCTGCAATATATTTATGAATGCACACCTTACATTCTGTGTTTTACTGGAGCTTCCAATTTAAGGTATCCAAGCTAAGGCACAGAATCCGTTTTCAATTATAAATTACTAGTCTAACGTATGAAGCTAACCCCGGGATTTGAACTTCCAGCTAGGACACACCACGTCCTCCACATAAAAATGCCAAGTTGGACAGTGCAAATAACCGAGCGCCTTCTCCACTACAGCACTCTTCTAGACAGGTCCAATTAGGGCTGACGTAACGGGTTTATCTCCGTGAGATTTACTGATTCACTGATAGTAGCGAAGCCACAACGTCATAGGAGACGTTGCCGTGTTTAGGCAGGGGGAAAGGGGGGATTTAGGTGGGCTAGACGGGAGCGTTAGAAAGGCCAAAATGCCAAAATGCCCACAGTTGAGGCGAAAATAAAAACTCAAAAAAAAAGGTTGTGGTGTGACGAGTATTTTCATTAGAATGAATTAATCGGAAACGGAAATTGTAGAGATTATACAGTCGATTATTGGTCGACCTGGAATTGATAGGATCGGGGAGCTACTAAACCACAATGTACAATTAACGAAATATGTGTACAATTCAACATGAACGACTAAGTTCGTCTATCATGTTGATCGGTTACATCATCCACAGGGGTACAATAATGAGCCTTTTTCGAAAAGGAAGTACTTTGTACGGAGAAGGTTGCCCAAGTGTTGAGAGGTGGATAAGTGTGTAAGCGGCTGAATTACCCACCGTGAACCCACAAGCCTAGCGCTAGACAAAAACGGAAAAATAAATCCCAAAAAAGAAAGTCAATGCCCATCGTAGATCGGCAGTGGGAAGAGAGGGGCCGATCTGCCCTGGTGTGTGCTGTATAGCCAGTCAGGCCAACAAACGGTCTCGCCACCTGGATCTCAGGCATCCCGAGCTCTTTAACTAAGACATCAAATGTCCCGGCTCAGCTTACGCAGCTTTGCATTACGGGGCCCCGGGGCGTTTGTCTCATTCTCAATGGTCCGTGGGGGTCCACTTGCTCAGTTTAAGCATGAATGAGATGTAGTACATAGGATCTTTGTGTCTATCACTTCGTATTGTGTCAAATCTATCTAACAAACATCAAAAGCTCATTGGTGGGTTGTTTTAGCCGGCTGTCATATTGCATCCATGGATTGTACAATATTCACTGTGACCTTAGAGAGTGTGTATACTACAACATATATGTACGGAGTTGTATACTCATGACGCATTCTATTCCACATCATTGGTTCTGGCTATATTTCCGCCATTCAGATATCCGAGTATCTTTCCCCGGGCCCCGGGCCGATCCCCTGAGGTTCGCTCTGTCCCGAGAGATTGGTGATGCCTCTTTTGCCGCCTCTTATCTTACTCCACAGCGGGAGAACGGCCCTCATGCGGATTGGCCGGCTTCATTTCCGTCTAGATTAATCGACATCATGACGGACATGGCCAAAGTACGAAGTACATCTTAATATGTTTCCAGCTAAGGTTATTGGCCAATCTATTGACCCATGTCTCGACCTATACTTCCCCACACTGGTACATCCATGGATATTTGCCAAGGATAAGGATTCTTAGCGTGAGGGGTCGTTTTTGTTCTCTGGAGACAATCCTGACATCAAAATGAGAGAAAGATCCTCAAACTCTGGCGAATGATGAAATATATCTGCTTAGAGTAACTATCAGAGGTCATGCGACCTCTCTGTTTGCCCCCTAGAGGAGTCTCTTTCTCTCCCGCATCTATAGTACAGGTTTTCAAGAGCCTCATATTTCTTATAGAAGTCTAGACTTGTACTCAGCAACTACTCAATTACATTGTAGGACTTTTACGTCTTAAGCGATTGGCTAATTTACACTTTGAACGTTCTTGAACATTGATAGCTCATGATATTACTCTATGAATTATCCAATATGAATGACGACCCCCTTTACAAGATGATCCAGTAGTGCTGTATGGCCATCGGTAGGCCCAATGATTACCAACCAGTAAGTGTAGTGCCCCGGAACCAGTATCGACCGCGTCTAAGGTCGAAGAAAATATCACCATGCATACATGCAACCCTAACACGCCCATGACGCCCATGTGTGACAGAAAATAAAACAAAAGAAAACATATAGACACAGACAATATCCGACAGAACCTCGTGTATGTAGCTGATGGCCGGTTCTGGACCGCGGAATTGCCTGTTCCCAGGTTAGGGATGAAAAGAGGGTAAAAGAAAATGCACGAAGATGCGACAAGGCTCGGTGGCCATTTAGAGAAATTGAATGAGAATGCCCTGCGGTCATTCGAAGCTCGCCATGCCGTACGATGGCTGACCGGGATTTTAGCAGCCTCGAAGTATGGACATGAAGATGAGCTCTGACTGTAGGGGATGAAAGTTGGGAGATAGCGAATTGCCATCAGTGTTGGACGATCAATGAGAATCCATCAACCCATGATGCACAAGAGCCAGAGATTCCAGCAATCTTATAGCCCAGAGGAGGTATCAAAGTGTGGCTGTTGGAAGTTTGTTAGCATGCTTCATATCGTAAATGAAAAGAATACATACCCTGAGCCACCGGTGGGATTTCCATAGACACCGGATTTTCTTCCCAGGCTCGTGAGAATCTCGATCCCATCAATCCAGAGACCAGCCCGGACATAGAACCCAAGCAAAATTTCACCGCGTCGAGTATCAAGGACAAACTCATCACCACCAGGTTTGCCTCCTCGCTTGCCGAATAGCTGACTGGTCGCGTCCTCGTAGCAGAACTCGAGACCATCTAGTGCATAGCCATGGTAGACTTTAATCGACGTCAAGAGCTTTGTTTTTATGAAGGCACATTCCAGTAACAGCTGCTCTGGCTCACTGCCTTCCATCGCCGACTGTCCTAATTTGCCGCTTTTGTAACCCGACTGGTTTTTGGGCAATTTGACGAGAGAATTTTTCGATTTTAGATCGCCGATATTTTCAACAGTATAGCTGCCCAGTGAACCAGAGTAGACAACT